AGGCCAGACCAAAACCCGAGAGAATACCGGAGAGGGTGGGGACGATCCAGTGAACCTTGCCGCTGTAGCCAGACCAGCCGAACCAGAACAGACCGGCGGAAAAGGCGACACCGCCGGCGATGACGCTGGGGAGACGCCATTCGGGGATGGGGATACCGTTGTTGGCGTTGAGCTTGCGCATGTACCACGGCTGCTGCAGAAGGATGGTGACACCGGCGAGGATCTGACCCGTGATCATGCCGAAGAAAGTGAGGCCAGAAACACCAGGAGTCATGTGATAGACACCCTGGAAGACAATAGGGTAGGCCGTCAGGAAGAGATACAGGATGCCGTAGATGAAGGCCATGTAGATGGAGAGGAGGGCGACAATGGGCTCTCCAAAAAGAAGACGCAAAGGACGCGAAAAGTTCTTCGATACAAGCTCCTTGAAGTCAATCTCAATCTCCTCTTGCTTGGCGTGGATGCCCCAGTTGAGAGTGCGGCGGCGGAGCTCCGAGGCCTTCTTGACCAGGATCTGGGGAGGGTAGGTCTCGTGCATGAAGAGCAGGTCCAGGCCGAAGGCGAGGAAGGCCATGAAGGAGACAATGTACTCGGTCCAGCGCCAGCCAAGGTAAGAGGTCGAAATGAAGCCACCGATGAAGGGAGCCATCATAGGACCGGTGAAGACAGTCATGGAGAACAGGGTAATGGCGATACCTCTCGTCCTGTTGTCGAACATGTCCGAGAAAACAGCAGCGACGACAGCCAGCGGGCAGGCGCCAAAGAAGCCACCGAAGAAGCGAGTGATGAGGATGGTTTGGAGATCCTTGGCGGTAGCCGTGGCGATACTGAAGATGGCCATACCGAACATGCCGATAACAATAGGAAGCTTACGACCCTTCAGTTCGGACAGAGGCGCCCATAGTGTCGGACCAAACGCGAAACCAAGAACGTAGAAAGAAACACCGAGAATACCAACCGTCTGGTTGACGTGGTAGATCTTGGCGATAGAGGTGGTTGCGGAAGAGAAGATAGATGAACCGAACGCAGCAACAAGTGAAGTATATCCGAGCATAGCGGCACTCCAAAACCTGAGCGCGTCATGTTAATCTTTTGAATCCTGATAACTAGCCAGAGCTATTTCAACTTACTTCTTCTTGAAAGGCCAGTTCATGGCGTGCAGGGGATCGTCGGGACCGTCAAACTCAACCACATACTCATCCGGGTCGGGCAGCTGGGGTGGGTAGGGCTTTCCGGCGCCGAAAGGCGGGAGAGGCTTTTCGGACCTCCTGCTCGTCCTAGTATTCCTGGTTCCTGACCTTCCCACAGTGCCGCTGTGCTGACTCCTCTGCGTCTGGATGCGACTGAGCTCGGTAGGGTGCCTCTCAAGATCGTGCTGCGTCGAAACACCGCTCATGCGTCTCGCTCTCCTTTGCCTCTCCTCGGAAGATGAAGTCGAAACCGACGACGTCGACATCACTCTCTCAACCTCATCGCTACGGCGAGCGAGAGACTCCTGACCGGCAAACTCCATGGGCGAGGCGTCGATCTCGGCGGCCGCAATCTCGCGGTCGGCTTCGGTGAGGGGCATGGCGACTTTTGTGTATGGGTTGCTGAATGTATGCCGTGAGTGATTGTTGATCGGTTGCTGAAGACCGGATTGATGCCAGAACCTAACCTATATATTATTATAGGCAGGTGGCAAATGGTATAAGTTGACTAATGTACTTTTTGTTCTTTGTACACGAGACACACGGCAAGTGAGAACGGAAGAACTGGGGACTTGATGATGATGAACCTCGGCTCGGGTCGAGTCGATCAACAAGCCAACAGACTGAAACTGAAGTAACTTTTTATTCCTAAACTGGAACCTTGTGCTCACTTTTGGTTGAAGAGGGGTAGGGGTAGATGAAGTGAAGAAAAAGGTCAGGTTTCAACTACAGACTAGATCGTTCATCCGGGGAAGGAGAGGAAGGTATACATAGGTAGTGAGGGGGGATCCCTTGCCGTATAAATAATGAATGACGTGCACAATTCGGAAGGGGACTTTCTCAGGGCCGTATCGGTACCTTTTTTCGGTTCTTGGGCCACCAGGCCAAGGACACCAACGAAGGAACAGGGGTGTGTATACCGTATCGACTGCGCTACTTATGTATGGATCTCATGGGTTCTCTTGGGCAAGATCCACTGCCAGCCCACCGTACCCACAATTCCACAAACTGGAGCCTGGCCTTCAGAGATTTTCGCAGAGCCATTCGTGACGGGTTGTGTGTGTGGTGGGCTGATGGCGGGCATGTTCTCCGTGTTTTTTTATGAAAGGGGCCCGGGACTCGGCACTCGCTTCTGCCCCTATCGCCGGTTTCTGTGTGCAGGCGGTTGTTCGGTTGGGTTGGTGCTGCAGTGCTACAGTACAGGGAACCATTACAAGCAGGAGATGATACAATAGAGATCCTAGCTGCCAGAAAGAAGCCGCGGTTGGGCGGCATCCCCGACCCTGCCAAGTTGAACAAATAAGATTTGCTGCAGAAAATGGGCGCCGGCAAGATCGGGGTCAATATGTTTAAAAGCAGCTACGTGGTGTAGTGTACTGACTGATATCGTTCACGTTGTCCTGTGCTGCGTGGATCGAAGGCGAGAAAAAAAAATAATTAAAAAAAAAATATGTGGCAGTGGCGGGGCAATCGTTGGCAAAGTGGAAAGGCAACTGAAAGGCGGGAAGGCGGGCCTCCATCACTCCGCGTGCCGTGGCCTGCATCCATTATAAATCGCCTAGTCTTCTGCGATCGTCGACTGGAGTAGTGTAGACCTTTCATCTCCGCGATGCGCTGATGGGAGGCCGGGACATGGGTTCTGGTAACCCCTCGAATGGCGGTGTCAGGCCCAACTCTTCAGTCCAGTCCGAGCAGGATGAGGAAGTCCAGGCCTCGGAACGGTAGCCTCTGCGTAGTAAGCGGCTTCAGACAGAAGATAAACCCACCGGCACCCACCGGCACCCACCGGGACCACTTCAGGTTGGGGACCACTTTGGGAAGCCAGACCGCAAGCGTGGAATGGCGGAATGAGACATTGCACGTCCAGGGGTTGTGCGTGTTGTGACAGCTCGGCATCGTATGTACTTGTATTTAATGTAAAGAATAAGATTAAGAAGAAGAAAAAAAGACGACCAACCGTTTGCCGAATGTCGAGGTCGTGCTTGGTGAGAGAACTCCGGTTGCAAGAGTGGTGGTGTGGTGGTTGTGTTGTTCAGTCAGCGGTCCAGTGATACTGTAAGCTCGTATTTGTGGGCTTCCCTTCCCTTGTAGCGAGCGACGGGAATGCACGACCGAAATTCCCAGTCGTTCCCGTGGCGCAAAGTCGTAAATCGAGCCCGCCGCAGAGTGCCGGCGGTTGGTTCCAGCTCCAACAGCGATCAATGAACAAAAGAAGACATTCCGTCCGGATGTTGTGCGCGTGCTTGTGCTTGTGCTGAGTGCTGTGGCCCGCTTTCGGATTTGTCAGTTTTTATGCTGTACACTAGTGTAGTGTAGTCTGTTGAGACAACCGCCAATCTGGCCAGCAAGGTTTCCCCGTTTGGGGTTTTGGCGATGGGAGATAGCTTATATCCGGGAGCCGATGGTCTCAGCTTGACACAAAAACTGAGTGCTGTCACGTCTTGGCTTTTTGTGCTTTTGTGCTGCCGAGGCTGCGGAATTACGTCAAAGGGCTGAGACGTAACTAACGGTTGCTGAAGTGAGGGGTGGCAGCCAAGAGTGCGGATGTGGCTTCTGTCGGGTTATCGCGATGGACGGGCAGGTCTATCCAGTGCCGTGTGCCCCGTGTCTTGTCTCGATCGCTGTCTGGTATCATGGCCTCTTTATCATGAATTTGCTCAATGGTGATCACAGATTGATAGTCAATGTGTTGGCGTTGAACTTGTGCTCATCCTCTTCACATCACACCCCTTGTACTGTGCGAGGATAGCTACCCGGGGGTCTTCCCTGTGCATAAAATTCCGTCTTTGCCGCAAATCCGCCCGAAATCCAGCCCACCGCTGCACACCTTCCATTGGTAAGTAAAAATCCATTGCAAGACGCTGGGATGGAAGCCGGTGATGGTTGCATGTTGCATGGAGCATCTATCGGTGAGCAATAAGCCGAACTCAAATCTGTGGCTCTGCCGCTCAGCCGTGAACCTAACTTCTGAAGCAGGAGCGGAGCGGGAATAGGCCGAGGCTTGGCCGCCGGAACCCACTCGGGCCACTCCTTGTCCACTTTTGCCGTTCTTGAGAAATGCAGGAGAAGGGCGGGAGATGCAACGAGATGCGACGAGAAGATGCAGAAGGTGCCACCACGGCAACGGTGGGTGCCAAGTGCCAAGTGGAACATGATGCAGCCCAACGTCGAGTGGCCCCGTCTCTGTTTTGGGCTTCAGCCATTGAAGATGACCGAGTGATGGGAATCTTCAATTGCTTGTTGGAAAAGTTATTTATTCTCTTGCAGTTCGCACCCTGATTCAGACAGTGCGTGATGCCATTCCCGAACAAAAAGGCTTTGAAAAATATTCCACTGCCATGTGCGTTTTGCGTGGGCGCATTTCCACTTAGTCCTCGGCAAGGATTCTGAACGTCGGCCAGGATTCTGAACGTCGGCCAGCGATCCGCCAATTTCCGAGAATAACCGAGGCACACAACAACAACAACAAAAGAACTTTCATCGCTGGCACCATTGTCCGAGTCGTTCCTGTATCCCGTCCCACCGGTTGGGAAATTAGAAGAAAAGTTTTTATCAGACTAGCAAAGGCACGACTGGGATCTAGGGACGATTTCTCACCGTCCAAGCGGCTACTGTATTGCCATCCAAAACTAGGCGCCGTATTCAACCCAGAGCTTTGATGTGTATGTACACTAATTGAGGACACGACAACGTCTATGGAGATATTGCACCGCACGCCTTGCTGTGATCGCCGCAAAGTAAACAAACAAATAGTAGAGGGAGAACCTTTAGCCAAGCTTCAAGCACCATGTCACACACTAGATGCAACCCTTACCGCACCCCCCAGTCATCCGCTTCTAGAAGGGTCGCCGCATCTTCCAAGCTCAGCCCTGCGGTTTCAGGGTATACCGTCCAAATCAGGCCATACCCAACCGCGCAGATCACTGCGTACAGGACAAACGTCCAAGACGGCGACAAGGCCTCCATCAGCGGAAGGAACGTCAGTCCAATCACAAAGTTGGCGCTCCAGTTAGTCGCTGTTGCAACACCACTGCCCACTGACCGAACATTCAGCGAGAAGAGCTCGCTCTGCATCCACGGCACATTGCCCAGTCCGATGGCATAGCCAGCCACATAAATCATGATGCTCGCCAAAATAATGACGGCCCCGCTCTGTCCTCCCGTTGTCGAGGGCGAGCTGATCTCTGAATCCGGGAGCTCGATGAACGAAAAGCCATAGCCGGCAAGCACCAGACCTGCAATCATAAAGGGAAGAGACCAGAGTAGAATGCGTCTCCTTCCCACCCGGTCGATCAACACCAGGGCAACTAAGGTGAAGGCAAAGTTGGTGACTGCAACGACTAGCGAGGTCAGCGTCGGCTCTGAAAACCCCACCATCGTGAATATCGTGGCCGAGAAGTACATGAGCGAGTTCTAAAGAAAAAAATGTTAGCACAAGTGGCCCATCAATAAGGCGGTACAGTGTCACGGTCGCAGCCCGGGTTACTCACAAATCCGCACAGCTGCTGAAGTCCCTGGAGGAGACAAGCAATTGCCAATGCCCGTCTGTTCCTCCTCACCCTAATCAGTTCCCGCATAGCCTCCATCCACGCATTCACCGCATTCCCATTCGCATACCCGGCCCCGGCGCCACCAAGTCTCATAGCCGTAGCCTCCTCTCTCACCTCAATCTCGATGCTCTTCAACACAGCATCCACTTCCCTCCTCGTCGACGGATCCTGCGCATCATCCCCCGCGGCAATCTTAGCAATCACCTCCCTTGCCTCTTGCGACCTTCCATCCTTCACCAGCCACCTCGGGCTCTCCGGCATCCACAACAAGATGACCACCTGACAAACTGCCGGCACCGCGCCCAACCCGACCATCCATCTCCACCCCGTCGTCTCCGGACTACCGTACGTCCCAAAGATCCAGCCTACCACGTACGCAACCACCTGCCCAAGCGTGATAAACACGATGTTCATCGTCACCAACCGGCCGCGGTGCGTCGCAGGCGCCAGCTCGGCAATGTACAACGGCGTCACAAAGCTGGCGGCGCCGATGGCTATGCCGACAACCGACCGCCCAATTACCATGACTTCGACGGTCCGGCTGGCGGCCTGGCAGAGGGCGCCGATGATGAAGAGGGTGTCGGCGAAGAGGACGACGCGCTTGCGGCCCCGGTCGTCGGCGAGCGCGGAGGCGAAGGGTAGCACGAGCAGGGCGAAGAGGGAGGTGCATGAGGTGATGACGGATTTGTCGAGCGAGGTTAGGGGCCGGTGCGAGAGGGAGGTACCGATAGAGACAAGGGTGGCGCTTATTACGCCTGTGTCGTCTGGGTAAGGGGAAAGTATGTTAGTCTCTGGTACTCATGTGTCATGTTCCGTTGACAGAGAGGGTACAAGTTGGTAGCACTAGAATGGGAAAGGTACAACGTAGGGGAGGTGTAGGTTGCTGTTGTTGTTGTTGGGTAACGTACAGCCGAATAGTAGACCGCTTATTCCGGCGGAAAAGGTAAGTAGCCAGATAAACAGGCCTGGCGGTGATATGTGCTGCGTCCCTCCCCGGGATTCATGCGCATGTTCGACATCATGGCTGCCATCATGTTGGTCCCCCTCCGTCGATTGGAAGTTGGCAATCAAGGGCTCTTCTGGGTTGTCTGTCATGATGCCGTGTCGTTGCTGCTGTTCATGTCATGGGACTGGATGTTGTCAAGTGGAACTTTCTCGGTCGCAAGCAATAAGGGACGTTTAGTATGGGGTGCGGTAAGGCTGAAGGATGATCGCTGGCAAGCGATATTAATGATGTGATGTACAGTAGTCGGAGGTTCCAGTACCTTGCACTACCGACGGGCGCTGGCCCCAGATGGGAGTTCATCCACATGTCATCGATGTCTTGGTTCAGCACTGCAGACGCAGAGGGGGAGTCGCTGTCTCGGGCCACTGATTCGTCGCAACAGGAACGATCTGCAGGGATCTCATAGCGGCTCAATTGAAACGTGCCAGGGGTCCAGCGCTTGGGCCCGTGTATTAGGTTCTAACGTTTCAAAGCTCAGGGCATTGGCGTGACATATGTAAGAAATTGGAACACCTTGCTGGCCCCTCGGCGATGACATCCTACCCGTCTTCCACTTTATTTTTTTCAAAAGAAAGCTATCCGCATGCTGTTGCTCAGACTCTCACATACTGGTCTTTGATTTCGTGTCAACTTCTCACATAGCTCGAGTTTGATCGGACCTCAATTGCTGTCGCGACCAAGACGACAACGACGGTGACTACATATCACCACGTACGTCACCTGTAGCGAGGTACCTCGGCACAAAGCTACCTATCCTCGCTCCTTGACTGACAACCAACAAAGTTTTCACAGACCAACACATCCACTTTCTTCCGGCCCTGACGCATACGAACCAACACCAATACCCCAAGCAGACTCCCAGCGATTCGCCGAAATACAGCCAGACGACATGTCGTCAACCTACGAAATGCCGCCCCAGCGCGACTCCTGGTTCGCGCCCCTTTCCATCGACCTCCTCGTCAAGGTCCTGAAGACGAGCTTCTTCCACCCCTTTGTAGCCTGGATTATCCCGCTCTGCTTCCGGGCTCAGAATATGTTCTGGGATGCGCCACCAATGCTGGTCTCCATCGCATGGGCTTCCATGATCACGCTCAGCTGGATCTTCATAACCATCAATAACCGGATCGCCTACGGTTTGCCACGTGAAGTAGACCTTAGCGATGAGGTTATTGTCATTACGGGCGGTGCCAGCGGGCTGGGTCTGCTTATTGCTGAGGTCTATGGTATGCGTGGTGCTACTGTGGCCGTGCTCGATGTCAAGGAGATGGACAATGGGGAGGCGAGGGGCGTGACGTACTACAAGTGCGATGTGTCGGACAAGGCGCAGGTCGCAAAGGTTGCAAAGGATATCGAGAGAGATGTACGTCTTTTTCAATCCAGTCCACTCTTGTCTTATCCGATAATTTAGTACTAACATCTAGTCCCAACAGCTCGGAACCCCCACAATCCTCATCAACAACGCCGCCATTGTCCTTGGCAAGCGCTTTCTCGACCTCAGCCTCGACGAAATCGACCGCTCCCTAACCACCAACCTGCTCTCCCATTTCTACACCATTAAGACCTTCCTGCCGCTCATGGTCTCTTCTGAAATGGGTGGCACCATCGTCACCATCTCCTCCGTCATCGGCACCGTCGCCGCCGCCCAGCTGTCCGACTACGCGGCCGCCAAGGCTGGCGTCTCGGCTCTGCACCGCTCACTGACGGCCGAGCTGGCCCAGACCCACCCCAACATGCGCACCGTCCTAGTCACGCCCGGTCAGCTGAGCACGCCGCTGTTCTACGGGGTGCAGACTCCCAACAGCTTCTTTGCGCCCGTGGTGGAGCCGGTGGACGTGGCCAAGGAGGTGATTGCGGCCATTGACGGCGGGCTGAGCACCCACATCGGCATGCCGCTGTATGCGAGGTGGATCGACTGGTATAATGTCTTGCCCGTTGGACTGCAGAAGATTGCGAGGAGGCTGGCGCAGGTTGATACGTCTATGAAGACGTTTGTGGGGAGGAATATGGGCGCGACGGGTGTTGATGATAAGAAGGGACAGTGAACATGCAAGGAGAGAATGTATGAATAGCATGAGTGGTAAACGCATGTGTAATCGCGCTGGTCGCTTGTATAATAAGACGGAGAGGTTCACAAAAAGATGGCAAGTGTCAAGGCGCATATAGATGGCATACTTGACATTTAGAAATTGTTACGTTATTGTGCAAATTCACTGACGAGCTCTGTAAGCCTCGCGAACTTGCTCCAATTTGGGTCACTTTTGTTTATAGAGCCCTACGCAAGTGGTCTTCTCTGGGTTGATAAAGAAGGAATCAGTGAAGTTTGTCAACACAGGACCTCATATAAACTTCATATTTGCTGCATTTCTAACGAGTTCATAGGTTTTCTTGAAACACTCAACAATGCATGCGTACTTCACTAACTAGCATGTCAACTTTGCTTCCATATAGATGTTGGGCTCTGGATCCTTTTGGTAGTCTCTTCATGAAATAAGAATCATTACCTTTAGCCTCATCTCAAACCCTTGCCGGACAAGAAGAAGAAGAAAAGGAACGACAGACACCAACCACCCGGAGAAACAACGCTTTCAAAGCGGAATACCTAGAGGTACATGTGGTTACTTTTACTCCTGAGCACAACTTCTTTGCCAACTCCCATTTTCCTTGGCCATGTGAAGGACTAAGGTACCTTTAAAGCTACAGAAGATTGCTTTACCGCTCTCTCTCTTTGTCGTGAGCTCCTTCCTTTCTTCCCACCAGTGCCCTCCTTCCTTCCAATCTCCCTTCACCGGCACCCCACATTCGACACCGGACAGCAAACAACTCAACACTCCCACTTTCCCTCGCCGTACCTTCCTTCCCCTTATCTAACTGCCGTCACTTGCCCCTTATGATCCAATTTTCCTAGCCATACATTCAACAAGCAATTCTACAGGACAAGCGCAGTTAGTGTAGTGGTTCAGCACTCTCGTTTCCCAATATCCAGTCGGACATACCTGGAAGTCAAGTAACGAGCGACCCGGGTTCGAACCCCGGACTGCGCACTTTGTTTTCTCTCTTTTTATCTTTTTGATCATCTACCACTGGATATTCCTATATTTATTTTTCTTTACATTGGTGACAGACAGACACGTCGATGCGTATGATAAGCTACAGTCGAGTATGTGTTGGTTCTTGAGGAATTCGAACAGAAACGAGGCCCCCTTTGGAGATGAACCCGTCGTGTTATTATACTTGTGCGGACATTATCACGTAACTGAAGTAACATGAAGCTAAAGAGACGACGATGTGGAGATGAAAACTGGCGGACCATGAAAACACGAACCATGAACTGTCAACAGGAACGGGACAGGGCACTGAAGTTTCCGATACATACTGCCATTCTTTTACCATGAAATCTTGGATAGGAAAATATAAAAAGAAACGGATCAGTGAGGCACAAAGACTGGCGTAGGGATCGCGGTGATGTATGCACCGCACGCTTATGATCGAGTGACAGAACAAAATCTTACTGCAACGAGTGGGAGACATGGGAACAGAGATACTATGTATCCTTGAGAGCTTGTCTAAAGGTGTCATGTGGCTGAGGGTAAGGCACGGTTTGAGGATCAATAACAGGCAGTTTCGGTCGTTGAAATGACACTCAGAGCAGACGATATAGACGAGAGGGAAATCAAAGAAAAGAGAGCTGGTTCATTCAGCCGTGGTATCGTGATCATAACATCCATCACCCCCTATCCCATCCCATCCATATCCTTGTACTGAGCCCCCTTCGTTTGTTATCCTCTCATCCCCTTTCTCTAGAACCCGTCTAACTCTCAACAGCCAAAGCCCTAACACCAACCAACAACTTCCCATCAACACTCACACTCACAACCCAATACTCCACCCGCACGCTGTCCTTCACAACCCTGTACACCTTCACATCACGCCCCTCGCTCGCCTCCGTCACCGCATCAATCAAATCAATGTACTGCCCGTTACGATCCCAGTCAACAGGGTCGAAGATCTCGATTTCGGCCTCGGCGGGGTTGGGATGGTTGATTAGGGAGGCGAACGTTTCTAATTTCCATAACTGTTAGCACCTTTCTTGTCTTTTGACTCATCCTTTCCGCTCCTGTTCCTGTTGCTACCCTCCCTTCCCTCTTCCCCCGCCGCCCCAAAAGAAAAAGGAACAAAATCCTTCCTCTCCCTCCCACCCACCATCAAACACGAGAGAGAGAGAAAGAGAGAGAAAAACTTACCCTCATCCGGAAGCATCTCCTCTCCAAACTTCAACGCGACCCCCTCAAACGGCTCATCCGCATCGCTCACATAGAACTTATCCCCCTTTTCCAACAACTTGGCAATCGGAGACGGAGGGGAAACCCCCTCGTCGCGCGTCTTGAATGTATTGCTACCGACTTTTTGCGTTGCCGGGTTGGGGCGGTCGCGCGGGTAGCCGAGCGAGGGATCCTCGTTGGCTTTGTTGAGGAAGGCCATGTAGGAATCGTCTGAGGCCATTTTCGATGTGGTGGTAGACAGCTTCGCGGTTGAAATGACGTGCGGCGTACGTGCAGTACTTGTTAAACCGGGCGTAGTGATGCGCAAGAGCGGGAGAGTGAGAAATCGTTGAGCTGCTGGTCGTTGCAAACGGAGAAGCGTAGAAGTTGTTCGAGAGAGAGGCAATCCAGCGGGTGTCTGGTGTTCGAGAAAGAGCCGGGTAAATTAGCTTTGTGGTTTGTCGATAAAGAGTTTGTGTTGAGGTTGGAAGAAGCGACTAGAACAGATCTGGGTCGGGGTTAGGGAAGTTCAAACCATTATGTTGTTGTGTTTAGGTTGAGAACGTTTCGTTGGGCGGGACGACGATGACAATGATCACCTAGTCAGGTGGGTGGGCTGCGTGGTGGGATGCGATAACGAACGTCCGATGATGTAACCTGCAGTAGCTGAAACCAATTAGGAATGGCGGATCTGACGTTGGCCTAAGAGTGGAAGCGTCAACCAATCAGGGAATGGGCTCGTTGCAAGGTCGATCGGGGTTCAATCTGCCCTCAACAACAGCCATGTACGCCGTGAGGACTCCAAAAGCACGACTAGGAATATGAGGAGGCGGTCTGAAATTGATATCATTATCAGTCATGGTATCGCAGATGAACAATATCAGGAAGAGAAAGCATAAGGACGGGTAGAATATGACAGGTGGGAAGCTCACGAACAGTTGATAAACAGAACACGTCCAGCGCAGCAGAACATGGAGGCAATGAGAATCACACAACATGCTTCATTCAAGAGTATCAAATTAGGTATATCTATATGCAACTGGTCCCGTCATGTCATTACCTACACTAGTGGGGGCATAGCAGCCCAGGACAAAAGTCCCAGAATAAAACATAAAGAGGTTGTAGACAGTGTCCATCGAAGCTGTGCCAGCCACCAGAATCTTCACATGTTCACATCACATAAAACACATTTTGCTGAAGGACACTCTCTCTGGCAGTACACTGGATCAACGTTTCATTGTTCTTCAACAGCTTTTTATTAAGCCGTAAATGCTAGGTATAGTCCCATTTCCCGACCGACCCGAAAGAGCAACGAAAAAACCGTGACACCAATGCAACCCGACTAACAAGAAGATCAACTGCAGCAGCCAATTTACGAGCTGGCAGCGAGGTCCTTCTTGAGGGTACCCTGGAACTGCTTCTTCTCGGCAGGGGTCTGGAAAGCACCATGACCGAACTCCGAGGAGGTGTCGATCCACTTGAGCTCGACCTTCTCGAGGGCCTTGCGGGAGGTGTGGACGAACATGGACTTGCGGAGAGTCATGACTCTCTTCTTGACACCGGGAACGGAGCCCTTGACCATAACGAAGTCGTTGTTGATCTCGCCATAGCGGACAAAGCCACCCATGCTGAAACAGAGTTAGTTTTGCGCTCTTCAACTTCAAGACAAATGGGGATACATACGGGGTGATCTTCTTCTTGGTGACATCGACCTCGGTGGCAGCAGAGTCCTCAGCATCGCCCTTGCCAATGCGGTAGATCTTGTGGTTGACCGAGGTACGGTGGTGGTAACCGGCCTGACCAGCGCGAGCAACAGTCCACTGGACGTGGGAAGGATGCCAGGCACCGATACAGGCGACCTTGCGGAGACCCTTGTGGGTCTTGCGAGGAAGCTTCTTGGTGCCCCAACGAGCGGTGACACCGGTGAAACCGTGACCCTTGGTAACGGCAATGACATCGATAACCTCGTCCTTCTCGAAGATGGAGTCGATGGAGACGGGCTTCTCGAAGAGGCCGTGGCCGAACTCGACCTTGTCGGCGACGGAGCCACCGTTGATCTGGATCTCCATAAGGTGGGCCTTCTTCTGCTTGAGAGGAGTCTTGCGAATCTGGGTGTGGGCAAGAACACGGACGACAGTGCAGTACTTCTTGATGCGCTCGAGCTCGCGGGTGATGGCGGCACCGTTGTTGTCGGAGTGCTTCTTGACGTACTTGGTGAAGGCCTTCTTCTTGGACTTGTACCAGTTCTTGTAGAAGCGGCGCTTGACCTCGTCGGACAAGTGCTCAGCCCAGACGGTGGTGAGGGAGCGGAGACCGCGGGGAGTCTCGATGTACTAATATCGGGGTTAGATCATACGGTCGCGGTAGGCCATATACGGCAGCTGGACAGGATCAAAGACTTACGCCGACCAGACCCACAACGATCATCTGCGAGAGATGTTAGCCATTGACACAAAAAGAGCCAAGCGGGCTGCGTTGTACGTACAGGAGGGGTATCAATGATGGTCACAGCCTCAACGACCTCCTTCTTGTGAGCCTTGGCGCCGGGGCGGTCGAGGTCGCGGACGATGGTGGTCATGCCGGCCTTGTAGCCCATGGCGGCGGTAAGGTGGACGGGCTTCTTGGCATCATCCTTAGGGAACCTGTCGTGAACGCGCAACTGGTCAGCCTCTGTTCGCGTGCCCTATTGCCCAAGTTCCAATCGCGAAAGATCCAAACTACTAGCGATAGTGTTGTCGATGGTACCAGAAGATGAGTTGGACTTACGACTTGACCTTTCCCCTGTGGCGGGCCGCGCGCTTGCGGGGAAGGTAGGCCAGCGAACCGTGGCGGGGAGCCTCGTACTCTGAAGCATCGAGTCAGCATGGAGGACGTTCAGGTTGCCATGAGGTCCAAGTCGTGATCACGCATGCTCCCCAAAATTCAGTCGCCAAAAAGTCGAAAATTTCGGTATCGCGACGACCGTCTCTCGGGAAAGCTGCTCCATCGATTCTCTCGAAGTCGGGATTGCGTGTAGAAATCGACAAAGACCGTATGTCTGGCGGCGACAGCGACGACGATGAGGCGTTACTTACTACGGTGAGACATGACTGCTGATGATCCCAAGTACCCGGGTTGTTGATGGTCGAGTGGGAAAAAGTTCACTACCGCGAAAACAAAATCAAGAAGTATCGCCAGAGAAATTGGACCAGCCAAATTTTTGTGTGAGTGGTGTGGATTGGACCGTGCACGGGCCAGAAATGCAGCGGAGCCCTAACTTTTGCGCGAGCCCTTTCCGGCGGGCATGTCCGCCTTCCTGTTCCTCGAGGCCGCCCAGCCAACCAGCGATGACCAGCCAAGCCCAGAGCAATCCACCCCACGAAAGCGACCCCGTACACTTAGTCAGCTTGGCAGGCCATTCACTAATGGCACATTGATGACAGGGTAAAGTCCTGTTGATGTGGCAGAAACGTGACTTTGACTGCTCTGCGTATAAGTCCGTCATCGTCGCCGCCGCCGCCGTGCCCACAATGTCAAGGAGAGCAAGCTGTTGTAGCTTTTGATAGCCTAGGTTGAGCTGTTTGGATGAAAGCGAGATCTCCATCTATCGGGGTTGTCAGTTGCGTGTCAAAAGCATGACGACATTGTAAAATGTCCCATCTGCTTCTTCACTCTATACCTCTAGCTTATGGACAAGGGCATCATTATAACAGTCGTAGATGTAAAACACGTGGGTTGGCTTCACATAAATACATAACGAGGCGGACATGCACGGTCAAAGGCGTGCTGGTTACAAGGGATAACCACGAAAGCCCTAGCTGTCATATCCTTGACTTTTCAGGCTGAGGCACCATTCAGGCATTTCAATAACACCATGTCCTGTGCGGCAATGATCACGACATTGCAATTACGATCTCAACAGTGTAACAATCGTAATCATGTTCTCTAACTGGCCTCTATGGCAAAGCAGCGAGTTCATTTCCGCCTCTTAAGGATATTCCCATTCCCTTCTCGCTGTCGACTTTCCAACAGATGACATGCACACGCTTCTATTCCAAACACAAGTCATAATAATGTATGTACATCGGAATCCGCTCCTTCCTCTCCCTCCTCGTCTCCAACCCGGTCAGCCAGAACGTGGTAAAATGGGGTAATTCGCACCCATGAGATGTTGAGCTTCATAGGTCCTTCTGTCTCCATCATCCATATGTGTGAGATGATGACCACTCTTTCACACCACATAAAACGAACAAATCGACGTACATTCCCATCCATAAACGAAACCATTATGACATCGACAGGATTTTGGGTTCCCCTGCCTCTGCCGTATCATAAGCAGATACACTGGGTCTTGTCTCTCGCGCAGAAGCTCAAGGTACACGGCAGATGACGTGATCAGTTGCTTTCTGACTTTTGTCCCATAATGCCGTTGAAGCTACCGCTCGTTGAGGCTCCGTTCTTGGACTCGTTTGCTGCAGGGCCGGATCCGGAGGAAGGGCCGGGAATGATTCCGCCCTTCTTGTCCTCCTCTCCGCTATCGTCATAGTCCTCGTCAACGTCCATTTTACGGGCCGCACGCTCAGGCTCATTGACGATGGGGGGGTGCTGGGCTGGAGGATGGTCCATCCGTCGGTCTTCGGGGGCGGGCTGATGGGCTGGGCCTGGGCCTTGCTGCTGAGGTCCGGGGACTGGCTGTTGGGGTCCGTGGCCTTGCTCGTGGATGAGGTTCTGCATCGGAGCCGAACCTTGCTGCATCGGCGGCAAATGGGCAGGGGCGGAATGAGACTGGGGATGATGAGCGGCCTCCGAAGGGTGATATCCCTCATTCTGGTGCCGCTGCTCCTCAGCCCGGCGCATGTCCTCCATGCGACGCTGTTCCTCAGCCCGGCGCTGCTCCTCAACCCTACGGGAATCTTCCATACGACGCTCGTCGAAGCGACGAGCCTCCGACGAGTTGCGACGAGCATAGGGCGGCTCCATTCGTGGCGGAGTCATCGAGGGGCGGCGATGCCTATGGTCATCCATACGGACGCGAGTCTCCTCCGTCGCAGGCTTCTTCACCTCCCGGTCATCTTCCCACTCACGCATTCTCTTGGGGCCAACCGAAGGAGGGCGGGGATCATGCTCCCTCGGATGAGGAGGTTCACCAGCCATACCTGGCTGAGGGGGATGAGGAGGGCCTGGCTCAGGGCCACCAGGACCGCCCTGCTCACCATGTGGAGGGTACGGCGGCTGATGCTGAGGATAGGCGGACTTGGGAGACGGCATGCGGTTCTCGTGCATGTGGGGTGGTCTTCCATCAGTCCTCGGACTGTTGTTGAAATGCATCATTGCGTTTGGAGGAGGGCCGTTTGGGCCAGGACCAGAGTTGGAAGGGACCACGTTCTGGGGATTAGCGTAGTTCGGGTTCCTCACTCTAGTTCCACTACCCCCTTCCCGAGTAGGTTGTGGTCCTTGCTGAAGCTGTTGCTGCGGGTGCGGCTGGTGCGGTTGTTGCGGAGGAGGAGGGGGTGGAGGGGCGTAATGAGCCTGCGGAGGGGTAGGTCCTCTTCTAAGCGGCTCGGGCGCCCTGGCCTCCTGATAAGGCCTCATTTGCTGCTCCTGTCGCGGGCTGGGCTGTCTGGGAAGCGGCGGAGCGGGACCACGAAAGGGCTCCCGGTCTTGACCCGAGGCATATGGATTCGGCGGCTGGGGAGGAGGGTTAATGTCGGAAATCCTTCCACTCCACGAGTTGGCCCCTTGGCCCGGGCCAGGGCCACCGTTGTGCATCGGCTGAGGCGGTTGATGAGGAGGCTGGCCTGAGCCTGAGCCCGCCCACTGAGGGCCCGGAGGACCAACCGCACCGGATGCATTATACGTCTGAGGGTGGATATCAGTGGGCATCGGGACTGATCCCGGGGGTGCGCCGCCGTTAGCTTGCCCACTTCGGAGAAGCTGCAATCTGGTCTTGATATGCGGGTTGTTGGGATCCAGTTCGGCGGCACGTTGATAAGCGTCCAGAGCATCGCTGATCTGGTTGTTGCAAGACTCATACAAAGTGCCAAGGTCATACCAAACTTCAGAAATGAAGGGGTTGAGCCTGATGGCCCTGGAATAGGCATCCAAGGCGTCACGATACTGGTTGATCTGGTAGTATAACACACCAATCGAGCACCAGAACGTGGGGTTCCTGCCATCCCTATAGACAGCTTGCTGATAAGCCTCGTATGCCTTGGGGTACTTTTGAAGTTGCATATAACAACGACCGAGCAAGTACCAGCTTTGGGCATCGGTTTGGTCTGATATATGTCAGTATAGGTGCACGAAGAAGCCAAATATATCCAAACTTACCAGCTGAAACGGACTGATTCAGGTACTCGATTGCCTTTTCCTGGCTGACAACTGAATTGCTTTGCTGGTGATGCAGCCAGCCCAACTGCTGAAGGACCTTTGCATGCTTTGGATCACGTTGCAGCACCCGCTCGTAGGCTTGCTTGGCACCATCATACTGTCACAACGTCAGAATTAAGAGTCGAGGAAAGAAGTATTGAATGCATGGCAGACTTACGTCTTTCTGCTGTTCATGGACGTGACCAATCTGGAACCAGATATCCTCTTCGGTCAAAGGAGTAGGAGGAGAGTTAACAATGTATCTAAAGCACTGTTGAGGAGTAAGCTGGCTGTCCCATGCCGATCTTATCAAGACAATAGTGTCGACTTACATCAAGCGATTGCTGGTACTTGTGTTGTTGCTTGTAGATTATGCCGAGACGAAAGTATATCTCATGAGCCTTGTCAAAGTTGGGGTCCATGGCCATGACCTGCGAGAATGCTTCCTCTGCATGGTCCAAAGAGCCATAGCGATCATAAAGAATACCTATACCATACCAAAGCCTCGGTTCCTGCAATCAACAGACAGTTAGCCAAACCGTTGTCAATTCTGAAAAGAGGCACCCCAAAAGGTACAAAAGAACGAACCTTTGGGTTGGGAAGGTTAACCAAGGCCGCTTGGTACGCAGCATATGCCTGCTGGAGGTCCTCCATCATAAGAAAGCAATGACCTAGACAACAACAGTTAGGACCCGGGTATAGTTGAATACACGTGGCGAATAGGGGGCTGCTTACCGAGGCTGCCCCAAGCTTCACCGTTTGCAGGCTCGATCTTTAGGATCCTCTGTAGATATTCCGACGCCTTAGGGAAGTCCTCGCGCGTCCTGAGGACGAGACTGGCGGCATTCATAGCAGTCACAGAGTTGGGGTTGGCTGCAAGAGCCCTTTCATAAGCCTCTAGTGCCTCGTTGTGGTTCCCCATGAGCTCGGACACGGAACCTACCATGATTGCTAAATTAGCATCGTACAGAATGGCCAACAGAGGCAGCCGACAACGGCGTGGGAAGCACATACCGATTCCGATCCACACATTCTCAGTCAAGCTCATGAAGGCCTGCCGTTGTTGATTCCATGAAGGCATCGACGCCGGCGGTGGACCTGGGGGCCCTGGCGGGCCGTGATGCATTTGCATCTGCATCGTAGGGGAAGGGTGGTGGTTTGCCATTTGGGCGATGTTGCAGGAGTAGCGCGTGGATGGCGTGTTGCTCCTCGATGGACTATAGGAAATTGGAAGAGGCGAGGGCGGAAGCCAATGTAGCGCTGCCGACCCAACTTAACAGTAGAGGTAGAATTCAAAGTTTCACAAGGCGATAGCAGTATGGCCTTGGTATCCCATGCAGCTGTTCCCGGGGACGCTACGGGGATAATATGTACTAGGTAGCAGGGTGGTGTCAGGGGCCGTCGTCAAAATGCGCAGTCAGTCACGATGACTGTACCAACCAAAGTATGAGGTTTCTGCTCTTTGGGCGGCTGGATCACAACGATACGTGGCGACGGCGTCAGCAATGCAATGGTCGTGACGATGAAGTGCCCGGTTCTTGTGTGTTGTTGTTGGGCGGACGCGATTGTCAAAAACCGAGAAGGATTGATTGCGAAGGGGACGACGAGAGGGCGGCCTGTCGCAGCTTCTTATAGTTGGACAAGATCCGCCCAAGCTACCGAGGTCGGAATGGCGACGTCGTGCTCTCTTTTTTTTTTTCTTTCCGGATGGAGATTTGGATGAGACGAGCAATGCGGAAATATTGCTCGCGGCGATGGCTGACTGGTGTGAAGGGGGTACACCGGCTGAGTTGGGATGGAATCAGGTCCAAGGTGGTGGTTTGCGCAGAAAGAGTCGTGCGCGATGCAGCGAAGGCGGGAGACGGGAGAAAAAGAAGGGGAAGGGGGAAGGGCAAAATTGGCTGGGGAAGAGGCGATCTAAAGGCAATGGGGAAGGCGGCCAGGAAGCAGCTCGATTCGCTGGACGGGGAGTTCTGACCACTTTTGCAAACTCCCCTAACCCACGGCGTCGTGTACGTACTTTTGGCTAGGTAAGTTTGGAATTTGCTCCCGGTTCCGCTTGGTGCCGCATGTCATACGGCGCGCCAAGATAAGTGACCCACACGCGCTGCACAAGGCCCTGGCGGCACAGGCAGCCCAGGTTACGGCTGGCAGGTCGTGGCAGGTTGCGGTACATTGGGGCGGGGCGAGGTGGGCACAGGGGTGCTTCCACTTGGCTGCACCGTGGTCGGGGTGCCTAGGTAGTGCAGTGTACCTACGCTATGTACTTGGAGCGACGAGCACGAGCACGAGCCAACGGAACCTAGGTACCTACCTCTACCTAGTTGGACTCTTGACCCTTGTTGCCCGTAGTGCGGTTAGGTTGCCCCTGGCCGAGGCCAAGGAACCACGATGAGAATGTAGAGGCAGAGGTGAGGCAATATGTACCACGCCTAGAGACTATTTAGAGATGGTAGGTATCCAGACAGCAAGCATGGAAGAGCTACAGTACCCATGACATCGAAAACAACACGAGTTGGAGTCCTTGACGCCCAAGTCTGTAGGCAGGGTACAGTCTCGAGTAGAGTGAGGGGTCTGGGTAAGGGAAGGTGCCCCTGGTCGAAGACCAAGAGAGCAACCTACTCCCACATCCCGTCGAGATGAAGAGGCCCAAGAGCTTCCGAACGGAACTCAGGTCACTACTATGGCCAGCTAGACTGCAGGCCGTCTATCATATCAATCTGTCTCGATGTTGGAACTCACTTAGGTTTGCGGCTTTACAGTCTGGGTTCTCACCACTTCACCACCCAACATCCGCTACAGCAGTAGATACACAGGCATCGCGCATGAGTGCTCGCGGTTTATGCAGTCTGATTGCAGGATGGATGAGCGGAAGAAGCGATGTAGGGCAAGGTATATGCACCCATGTTGGAAAACATGTACTCTCCGCTGCAGTTTAGCCTCCTCTGTTCTTCTGGCCCTTCAAGACCGGAAGTCGACGGGACGAGATCTCCCAGGCGCCTTGCATACGCCTACCTCGCATTTTCGCTTCGGATGCCTCAAAGGTGACGACTGTCTTTGACATTTTACGCTTGCATTCATTGACCTGCAACAATGAATCTCAGTATATCCGTACCCAGCATCGGATGTACAAGATCCGACATGCTGATACATGGGCAAATAGGTAAGGTGCCATTACTTACCTTATCTGCCGAGGGAATTCCGAGACGCAAATAGATCACATGACAACACACAACACAAAAGGAATACAAAAAAACCACAGCATTCACCCTTGTCTTCATCTGAATCACTTTCTTTTGTTTGACGGGAAACCTGGACGAAAATGTCAGTTAGCTTGCACTCCAGTTTGACCAACAGAAATAATAAAGTTTTCCTAGAGGTATCGTATCTTTCATGACTGTACAATCTCAGAGCTATCTATTAATGACAGGAGCCAACTGGGGACTCGGAGTGTCCATAACCCAGGGAATACCACACTTACACTACTCGTCAGGCCTTCAAACCGATCGTCTGGCTAGACTGACTATACGCAGTATAATCGAACATTGCCCTGGTCTTAGTGTGCGACAACGGACACATACTGCCGTCAAAGGAGAGACGAAGGCAAAGGTACATGGAATGGACGAGTGAACTACCACTGGCTAGAATCCATCGGTATCCAACCAACAGACTCCTTGACGGCCAGATGAGTGCACGAATCCACGTTTAATCCCGATCAGAGGGAAAGCGTGAATGGTGCGGTTGAACGACGTTTACCAGCCTAGCTGGCATTGGTGGTACGTGCCTAGATGCAGATCGAACAAGTGAAGCCATTCCATCAGCGATCGTCTCGTACTCTTCCGGCTAGGCATCCTGAAAGCTTCCAAAACTCTGGGCCACCCGCGCACAATAGCTCCGTGGATCGGCACCGCACCGAGCCAAACACGTCCGTCACGCACAACAGCATGAGTGCCGGGTGGAGGTATATGATGGGAGGCAGGTGATGTTCCTCCCCCTTACGTTTTGCTTCAAGTTCTTGACTCGTGCTGCAGTGTCATTACCTACAGACTGAAGTCCAGGTCTTTCCCCAAGTCCGAGTAAGTATATCAAAGTGGAAGTGGAAGCTGTCCCTGTGTTCCATTCGTCCATTTGAGGCTCGACACTTGTGCGGCGGTCTATCCAACTATGTACCCCGCACTTTCCGCAATTCTCCCTGGGCACTCACTTCGGCCTTTGCAGCCAGGTGCCGGGCGGTTGGCAAGCACCAACAGACAAGCATTCTTCACCTCGCCTTCATTCGGGTTCCGTACCAGAGCGGTGAACAGACTTTCGATCTGACAACTCCCATTCCGATCTGTATCCAACTAGATGCAGTACTGTGTATAACTTTCTTCGTCGTACCATTCGCCTGGGCCGGGGAACGCTTCATCCCAGCTCCTTCCCTTTTCAAGACTTGCCCTACCAGACGACCCAGCGATAATCTCCCTTGGGCGGTGTCTGGTCTGTTGGTGTGGCTGTCGACTTGGCCGACAAGTGGCCATGGTGGCTTGGACGGGCGTCCAGTGACATGGTAAAGAAGAAGGAGGTCTGTTGCTCCAATCAATCACTCTGCCGTGGTGTGCCTGACGCTGACGAGCTGCGGGAAGGGGGGGAAGAGTGGGCGCGCGCTGACACGTTCCTCGCAGGGAACCTCCACTTCAAGGGTCGGTCGACAAAGTACTCGGTACGAACAGGTACGAAATCTCACCCCCCCTCCTTCTCTTCTGGCGGGCCACACTCCAACCCTAGCGACAGGATCGGGAGGGAAACAAAAAAAACAGCAGCCCAAAAACGGGGACCGCACCCCACAAAGGGGGAGGAGATAGATGGAGGGGCGTCTCCGGAGCAAGCGGTACGGTGTTACAACAACGCCATTTTCCCTTTTTTTTTTCCCTCGCCAGTCTTCTTGGTGATCATTTGCCTTTTACCCTTCCTTGGCGGCCACTGGTCACCCTCCTCTTCAGGATCTACCGTCGACCACGCACTCCCGTCCACCAGCAGCCAGCCCGAGCCGTTCTGCGGCCTGAGTTGTTGGACAAAACCAGTTCCGATGCATTCTGAAGCAGCTGGGAACGGCCGCCGAGCAGCGTGAGCGTTCTGCCACCTGCATCTTCCTCCCAAATGCCCGGTGCACGGCCCCCCAACGCTGTCGACCAACAAGCCTTCAAGTCTCCCGGCCCGTGTGCCTCCACCGAGAAATACCCCAGCCCGTCCGTCACCAATGCCTGGGTGCTTGCAACAACGCGGAACCCTATCAACCCTATCGGCGCAAATGAGGTGGAGGTCCGTGATTGGGGGGGCTTTAATAGTGCGGTGTGCGGGTTAGGTGCGGGCGTAAGGGGGCCAAGACAGGGACCTTACATAGTGTACAAACAAATCGCACGCCGTCAATCGACAGGCAACACCGTACATGTTTCCGTGGAAGGTCCGGGCCGGGAAACACAACAAGACGATCTGTGCTCCTCAGCCTTGGAATCCTTGATGGAAGATCGTGCCATGGATCTGGAAATGGTGTCTACCCGCTGCTGCTGTTGCTGCCCTGCCGGATCCTGTTGTGGCCAGATCAACGAACGACAGACAGGCATTTACTGGTATGTCATCAACAGATTTCCTTCTCGTTAACAACCGGCATCGTCACTGGTCGCTCTTCCCCGTCCACGTTGTCGCCAGCTGGTGCCCCCTCTTGCGTTCACAGCCTCGCTTGAGCATCCATCATGGTTCCTTACATGATGGTACGGCACCCGGTATACAGTCTAAAACATCATCACCTTCAGCAGAAGCTTTGTGTGTTTATGGCTTCAATGGCCTAGTTACCCTTTTAAGTTTAGAACTCGGACATTCAAAGGTGAACACTGCTTTCCTTGCTTGTCAGGGCATGAAACAACCGCTTCCTCCGAGCCCTCTCCGAGTCCCAAAGAGTACCCAGCGACTCGACGATGTCAACTACAAGTGTCCTCCACCACTATGCTTCACGTGCACACATGTAGTGCATAAACAGGCCGTGGCAGTGGCGTGGCATCAACACGACATTTGATGTCTGTTGATATCATCGTAACGGCGACGCGTAGTCATCATACATCTAGCATAACTTAACTTGCTCAAATCTGCCGGAGGTGCAGCGCTTTTGCGTGTTGCCTTCCAGCCCAGGTATCTACCGAACCCGCTTCAGCCCCGTGACGATCCATGGCCTGCAAGTACCTCCCTGGAAGGACCGGTGCTAAGGTCGGACGTTAACTGCTCCGTGCTTCGGGCATATTTTGGCAGTTTTCATGTCGACTATCTTGCATTCGATCGTAAATGCAGGCAAGGCAAGATTTTCTCGTTCAAAGGCGTCATCGTTGCCCTAGACTTGCCACAACGCCATGAAAAACGAGAAGAAGCCGACGGGGTAGATGTCTTTTGACATTCTTCCCAAGGCAAGCACCACCGGTATTATTTTGCGATTCAGCCTGGATCTCTGAGCTTCCGAGTATTGACATCTTTCGGCGTTTCCCGCGTCCGCGTCCGGGTCGATACAAGTCCGCCTACTGGCCAGCCAGCCGGTCCCACAGACCCGACCGTTCCGGCTACCGCTGCCGCTAGCTTCCGCTCGGCCCCGGGTAACAAACGCTTCCGATCGTGAGGGCGTCCCCGATCTGGTACGGCTTGACAGAGTTCAAGGAATACTACCTATCCCAGCCAAGGTTCCGGTGCAACAGGGAAGTTGGCTTACAGCTGTGAAAGGACCGATATTTCCGACAAGAAAATAAGGTTGGAAAAGATTGAAGCAGGTGCATTGCAACAATTGCCGTCATTTTGCTAAAATGATTTTGGTTCCTTAAATTTTCCGGAGTTTGCACGGCATATTGCGTTGGCATAAACTATCGAAAGCAGTTGCACAGAGGTGAGTGGACTTGATGTAATAGCACGTGCTAGTAGCACCTGTCAGATCCTTGGGTTTCGATCTGGTCTTTGGTCTGCTTCCATCCCGTCTGTAATCGCATACTCGTATAAGAACTCTTTTCCATTCACTAAAGTGTATACAGTTCATCCTCATGTGTTTGCCAACCGCAGAAACACATCAAGTTGACTCTGTAGGCGCAAATGGTATTTCGGCTTGTGCACGGTTGTCCGCTGTGATTGAACTCAGCTTTTAGAGGATGTAAGCTGGAAACAATACATAATCATGTTCGTCGTTTTCTGGGAGCCTGGCTTTATGGTAGTTTGAATCAATGGAGCTTTGAACTTTCCTGTTATCTCCGTTCCAGGCATGATCTGTTCGCAATGTTTCTCTCAAGAACCGGAGGGAGAAGCGTTGTCCATCTCACCTTCATTGTGCCACTAATATAGTAATATATGTGAGATTTGTGATGGCCATGGCCACCCAGCAAATTAGTGTAGACTTTCGAGATACTAGGCACGTACCTATCTCACCAAGCCGACCAGGGTGATGATATGAATGAGATACCCGAACGAGGTAATCCGTTTCATGACGAGGGGTTGATGCACAATCACCCATGTACATAGCTCGCTGAATGGATGGCTATCGTGAGTAGTTAAGGGATGGATGGATGATCGGGTGGCTGCGAATAAATTGGGCTGACGGGTTTGATGGATGGCACCCATAAATGGGATCATTAAGCCAAAGAACGTCGTGGGGTTTTATGTACAGGTACAGTAAAATAGACGAGGCGGAACCGACGTCCGTTGTTTGGTTCTCGAACCATGGAAGCGAGGATGGGCATGGCTCATCAGCTGGGTCGCGTCGAACATGTCGGATGGTTGGCTCGGATGGTACCGCATCTTCTCATCCATTATAGTTTCACTCAACTAGGTATAGCGCCGGGTATATCTGGCTTCGACCAATCTGCTAGTGAGTTGATGCCAGTCTCAAAGCTACTTGGGAACAATCAAAATCAAAGGATTGGTCAAGTAAAACCATATCAAATGAGGAAATGCAGCACTGTACTCAGTAAGGTGGGCAGAATATGGCGATAACGTGAAAGGAAGCGTGGGTGAGCTGGGTAGGGTACAAAATGTGAAATTTGACGAGCGACGTAGGCGGAGGGAGTGGATAGATGTGGTAGATACTTATCATCTGTCTGTGCTGTCGTTTCTTTTGTGTTAAATGGGCGGAATCAGATGAAATGAAGTGACGATGGTGGTGATGGGCAATATCGGCTCGGTACTGCATGTGGTATATATCCCTTAAGTGACATATGAATGAACCAGTAAGAAATAGACCCGACTGATAGCGGTAGTGGTGATACTGATGGTGTCCGATGGTGTCCGCTGAATGCGAATCCGTTTCTTTAACTACCAACCATCCATCCATCCCGCTTGAGGTTGCCATGTCCACGCAGTTGAGAGCGAGGAGCATTTCGAAATGGAAGATCACGCATTGTGTCCCGAATGTGTGCGCGCGGCGCGTAAAGTGCGTGCGTCATGCCATGCTCGTACTGAATAGGCCCCGTTGCCAAACATGTGTCACCAAGTTTCATATCACATGCATGGGAAATCGCATATGCGGGCGTCGGGTCCGCGGAATTGTGATGTGTCTTGGCTGTTCCTTGTCTTCCGATGGGCACTTTGTCGGTCCGTCTAGAACACAAAAGAGGAACCGGGTGGCGGTAGCCAGAGGTTCTGGCAGAAGGAGGAGGCTGAGGCATCATCAATCATACTATGGGAGGGGATGAATGGATGGATGACCAGATCCAGGCACACTTCTGTCAAGCTGAGGGGTGGCAAAGGAGGACCGCCGCGAGGTTCTCTTCAGTGGTCCCATGGCGTGTAAACTGCTCTCATGTTGGAGAAGGAAGGGGACGGATATGTTCAAGTCAGATGGCAGACGCTTGTGTGCGGTGGAAGTAAAGGCGGTTGGATAAAGGATAAATTTGATATTCATTGTGTGCTGTATCGCCAGTAAATTGTTGCGACCGGTATGTTGTTGCACGTTCATCTAGAGCGGTCGGGCAGCCTGTCGGGTAAGACGAGAGTAATAACATGGAATGATCACCCTTTGCAAATGGGTGCAGAAAGTGGCACACGCATCAATTATCGCCGGCCATGTCCCGAAAGGGTCAGTCACTGGTTTAACGATGTGACTGAGCACAGGCCATCCATCTCCCGGAAATGGGAGGTTTCTGAGATGGAAGGATCAAGGGCTTTGTGGTTGTGGTGGGTGGAAGGTGGGGTGGCACAAGCCGGTCACAAGTGGGACCAAAAGGAAGGAGAAGTGGATACAGATCCGCCGGGGAAAAGAAACAGGGTGGACACCCAGTTTTGGAAGGCGAGGAAGGTTTGGATGAAATGTCATGGATCAAAAAACCCCTGACGTTGCTTCCGACCCACGAGCTATTTCGGGGCCAAGCACTTTTGGCGTTTAACCCTGAGGAGAAGTTGATAAACTTGTCTTTCTTACCTTTGAATTCATTTCATCTTCCCTCTCTCTCCTCCAAAGAACGGCATTTTCGGCATACCAAGGTGAGGACGGGTGCGCAGGTACGCCGGGTCAAGAATTGAGGGGCTAGAATCTGTCGGAGTTGAGACGGGAACGGGATCGCGAGGAGTCGGGCCCGGGGTGGGGTCTGCTGCGGTACTTCCCGGTACGATTGTCGGAGTCTCTTACGTAAGATAAAGTGTGCAGACTGATGAATCGTGCGGCCGCCTGGGTCACGTGCACGCCCAAATCTGTCCATTGTAACACCACAGACTGACAAGACAGGGAGGGGCTTGCCGAGCACTCATTCCCGTCACTCCTTTGGTCAATTGATGATAGCGCCCTTCTTCAGTTACTTTTTGCTTCGGTTTGTTTGCGGACATGGTGACGCTTCAAGTCAGCGTTCCCTCGTTTCCATTCTACCGTGTCTTTCGGGCTTTTCTACTGCTCCTGAAGGAACGGGGTATATCTGCACGTGCCCGAGGGCGGCCGAGTTAGATGAGTGGGCTCCCGGTCAGTGTTCCAGCTCCGCATTTTCATTAGCTACACTACACAACGCTTGTCAGGATCGAGAATGGCGGGTGCCGAGATTCCAGTGGACGGTGACGACGACCATCGGCCACAGCCTTTCCTCCACCCTATTTTACTAGAGGCTCCACCCACCAAAGAGGCTCAATCCTTCCACTCAAATTGCCCTCAACAAAATTCGGCACCCGCTGTGACGGGCCGGGCAGTTGGTGTGCTCGGGGCGCTACGACCACCACGACGGGACCTGCAGACTACCTAAGTTGTCACCCCTTTCTGCGCCTCCAGTACACTACATATCGCACACGGCACAAAGCCCACGAGTTCTGAGACCCCGGGCCAGCCGACCTAGATAGAGCCCGATGACGAAAGGCAAGTCTCAACAGGGTCGACAGAAACGCCTATGCATCCATGCCTTGTTGTCATTGGCAAACGGCAAGGCAGACGACATAATATCTTCACCGAAAAAGGGGCCATTAACCACCTCACGAAAAGTAATGAGGCCCAATTCTATGCGTACTGTAACGCCCAAGTGCCCCGCCATGCTGACAGGCCAACGGCACCTTACCTTCTATGGGGCGTTTTCAGTGATAAAAGACCTGCCTCGAATCGCTAGAGGTAGTCGAACAGCTCAGCATCGGCATCAACTGTGACTTCCAATGGGTTTCATTGCATTGGAGCCCAGGAATCAGCACGTGAATAACGCCCTATGTAACAGGACGGGCGCACCTTTCACACTTCTCCCCGAGTCGTCACTACAATGCCAGGCACCAGCAAATCGTCTGAAATACAGATTCAGACCGAGACAAAAATTCCATGCGCCACGTTTCTAGCCGGGCTGGCATGATCATGTTGTCCGGATTTTGAGCATGGAGATGGAAAAGGCATGATTGTGGCTTGAGCCATCAAGCCTCTGGTGTTGCTCATTGATTGACTGGCTTGGAATCCCACGGCGTGGCACAAATATTCCAAGCAGGTGGTTGGTCCAACGGCTTGGCTGCAAGGATTCATCACAGAGGATCGACGCTGAGCAATCAAAAGAGATCAAATCGTTCGGCGCAAAACGCGGTCGTCGCAGATACACCGAGCCAAGCCATCTTTCCCTATCAAGCCCTGTGTAACCAGCACCCCAGGTTCGCTCGAGGCAGGAAACGAACCCCTTGCTGACACCCTTCCTCAGCAGCATCATGGGTTCAGCAGCCTGTCGAACAGCCAACCGACAAATGCCAACGGGGACCAATCCCCCTTTGGGATTAGCAGCTTCATGAGTTAGCCCCCTGCCTTACCGAACCGTTGCACAGTAGATGGCTCGTTACACAAGCGTTCGGTTATCAAGCTCTCGAAGGCTTGGGAACGTCGTGATATCCCGAGTCATTTTAACCCTAACCCTGGACTTAGATCAATCAACTTGCCCTACCCATCTCTGCAACATACCAAGTCGCTTCAGAGGCGCCAGCAAATCTTAGTTGTTGAAATCGATGAGGATATCAGGCAGCTTGGATTCGAGGCAGGAAAGGATCTCGTAAGGCTCGAGACGTTCCAATGAAGCTGGCCGAAATCACCAAACGGGTCCTCGTGGAACAGGCAAGGTGACGCGAATCACTGATGCGCCCAGTGGCGTCTGTTGTACACTTGGGAGGAACGCGGCCTCCCGAGCCAGAAAAGATGAAAGATGTTTGGTGTAGGTATTACGAAACTTCATGGGTCGTGTGTCTGTCATTCAGGGCCGCTCGTTGTTCACGAAACTCGTGCATCCCGGCGGCAGATGTCTTGCTTTAATGTGGGTGTGTCATCCTACATTCCAGCTCGTGTTCCTCTCCGTTCTTTATACTAGCCCTATGTGGTCTGCTCTGACTCTCTTACGAAGCCACTTGCTGCTTTTCTTTACCTAATATCGAATCATGACCTCGACCAGGTTCCCTTTCGCTTACCTCGCAACACATACTCCTCATGATGTCCAGAATCGCTCGATACATGACACATCAAGGGGTAGAACGGAAATACAGAACCTGAACCTGTGCATCTACCGAATATGCATGCAAATCCTAAGCGGACTGCGCGAGACGTTGAAACAGGTCATGTTGTACTTCTCACATTCCCTCCTACGGTACTACCTTGCTGCGTTGCTGAGGTCCCGAGGTTTTACGAACCGGGGAGGGAGCGGTTTGACCAAAGATGTAGTACATGTATCAGTTGTCATCTCTCTTTTCTTTCCTTTACCCCCTTTTTCCCTCTCCTGACAACACGATGCTTCTCTTGGCTGCAGACGCCTGCCATGCAGGAAGCCGAAGCTAAACCGGACATGCATCTCCTTCAAGAGCACAGACTCTTTATTGCTGTTGGCTTCGTGTCTGATTTATCCTGTCTCTCTCGTCCGTCTGTCCGTCTCTCTGTCTGTTTGTCTGTCTGTTGTTCCGTTCTGCTGGTCTCGTCTGCCGACTGTCTGGCGGTTTTGTGCTACCAGGTCACTACATACTTATCATTGTCATGATGGATGAGTAGACCAGACGGGGCCATGGATCGGGTGTATGATGTGGAATGGATGCGGCGGGTTCATGAAGGGATGACGAGTGACGGAATCCGGTGGCATCTGACGACGTTACAGCACTCGAGTTACCTGCATACGTACGTCTTTGATGCGCGGTGTGGGAGGATATTGCTTGCTACTACTTACTACCCATCAAGCCACAATCTGGATAGTTTTTTCCCGTCCAAGGACAAACGCTACACACACTCTGGGCAAGTAGCTTAGGGAAGACGCCGCGCAACTTTTATGCGTGCGTTCCCTCTTTGGCTGGACGGGTAGCCACAAGAACGCCTCATCCTACCTCCTTTCGCAGATGATACAAGCGTCAATCAGCAGCAAATTTGTGGCTTGATCTGAGGCGGTTCACTGACTCCTGACGTGAAGCAGGCAGATAACGAACCCTTACCTCTCGTCCCTTTGCCCTTCACCTCGCATACCACAGTACATATATCTCAGTGATATTGAAGAGGCAACAACGCCTACTTGGGGTAACAAGTCAAAAACCACGAGGTATTGGACCCGGTGCCCGACTTGGTAGGGAATGTGCACTACTTCCCTTGTGCGGGCACAACGGATCACTGAGTAAGTCTTTCGTGTCTCAGTAATGTGTTCCCCGTTCTTCCTTCAAGGAGATTATCATGGCTGGAAAAAAAATCTCATTTCGGATTGATTGCGGGTTCAGCCCGTGTGCTGCTGGGTTTGGAACGAGAGAGGCTGAGACTTGATCTGTTTGAGGGCAAGACTTGCCCACCTATGGTTCGAATGAGGTCCTGATGAACTGACTGACTGACTGACCTTGAACAGTGTGACTCGATCCAATCTTTGCGAGATGAAATCTTGTGGAACAGAAGCTATCTTGGTTCAAGCGGTTTTCGATCACTAATTGACGTCAATCTGAGGTCGTAGTCACTGGTTTGGTTTCCGAGTTGGGCGGGCTATAATCAGCAGATGACGACAGTGCCTCTTTCTAACCTGGATACCGGAGGTTATTTCACAAAAAGCTTGAGAACGTTGCTGGTACGTATGAGTCCAATCCTCTTCAACATCCAGGTACACCTCCCCTGAAACTTGATATTGGTTCCCACCATTACCGTCAGCCTCATTTTCATTCTCATCAAGAAACAACTTATAATATACCATCTTGACCACCGTCTTTATCGTCCCCTTCCTTGACTCTCGCTCGATCCATGTTCCATAATATTCTTGATAAGAACAACACTTACCTTCCTTTCCCTTTAGCCATCATATCTTACATCCTCCTTTCCCCCCTCATCGTCTTCAACATCGCCATGGAGTCTTTGTCGCTGTACTCTTCTTTCATTTCACTTTCGTTGCCAGCATAGTCGACAAAATCATTGTCATCGGTGTCGCCAACGTCAGTATCCTCTCCTTCCTCTTCAACGTTATCCACACTATTTTCATCTTGGGTATCGTGACAATCAGTGCCACCTCGTTGCCCTCCTTTATTTACGACATCACTAGTTATATATCTATCGTCGATTTGCAGTCCCGCCATCATATATTCTTTCACTTTCCCACTCTTCCTCCTCTACCCAACCATTCCCGAACTCTTTCACATACTCACTTGAACTAACACAGGTGGTTCTTTCCATCACCACTTGTCCCCATATCCTCTCCCCTCCCATCTGTTCCTCTTCTTTCTCTTCCTCTTCGTCATCCTCAATGTTGCTTCATTTTATTTCATCCAGGAATCATGTTTAGGTATTGATCAAACTGGGCTAGTCTTCATACCAATTTAGACAACCGCACTCTCATTAACCACGCACCTGTTGCTAGGAAGCTATTCTGGTTAAAAGGAAGAGAATAGGGAAATGATGTGTGACGCTATCAAGACACCAGCTGTTATTTCGCCGGCTAGGATACCTACATCGGTCCTAGTTACTATTGCTACTATCTCTATCCTCGTTTTGTTGCCGGCGTCGAGCCCGGGGCCGCTGTCGCTTTCGCTGGGGAGTGGAACAAGATGATGACGGTAATGGCATAGAGGACGAAGAGAGTGGATGATGATTGCGATGGGTTGGCGTCTGATGATGATATAGTGTCCGAGGATGATGAGAACATACCTATGAACAGAGGAGAAACTAGAAGGACTTTTCGAGGGAAAGCAAGAGAGAGGATTGCACAAATAAGGAAAACGGTTCGCAGCCTTCAGAGCTGGCTAATGGTCGTGAGACTAAACCAAAATTGAACATGAGACAAGTCAATACAAGTGCCAATACGGTTTAGCTTAAATGAAAACCCTCGTCGTGACATGACACAACTGTGGACCAAGTTGGAAACATTTTAAGAGAAAGCTTGTATCTAGGATGATTTTGGGCAGAAAAGGTTCATGTTCAAGTAGACGACGGTACTCCAGAGACGAATGTACGCATGATGCAATCTGTTATAAAAGTTTTGCAATTCACGTTTTTGGTTCAATTTTACAACTACATCAGTTTGTGTCAAGGTACCAGAAAACTTGGATGTTTGGCAGGACTTCGCGTACCCTTCCCATCGACTTTGCGGACTTCTGCTACGAGAAAATTGTGCAAATCAACAAGTTCAACAGTTGTAAAGGAGACCAAATGGGAAGGCAAGGTTTTTTTTTTTTTTTTTTTTTTTTTTTTTTTTTTTTTTTTTTTTTTTTTTTTTTTCAAAATGTTTGAGCTTTCTTTCAACCTACTTCTTGGTCAAGAAAAGGTAATGACATAGCTGAAAGGGGGTGTTTTGAGAGAAAAGAGGGACGAAATAGACAATGGTCAAGTTTCAATGTGATCCTAGAAAAGACATCACCTCGAAATTGAGCCACAAGTAGTATCATGGCAGGATGAACAAGTGAATGAGAAACTCGGAACATAATTGTTGTTTTACGAGAATATATGCGCAAAGTCAAAGTCGGGTGGGGCGTATTCTGTCCTTCGTGTTCTCAGCGTGCTGATGATAAACTTGGACAATATCTCCAACACATCTGGCAACTAATGGCATGCAAGCCATCAGTCCTTTGCGATCGAGTTTTCATGAATCAAAACATAACTTATAAAAGATTCTTGGTAATTCTGGCTCTCTTCGAGCAGTTGCTACTTTCTGTTCTCTGATTATGCTTATGCTGTACGTGACAGACGTCAGTTGGAGGTTTCCACTTCTCAGATCTACTGGGTTGGACGCACACCCACAACCTTGGGTCTTGATATTTCACTTCCTCTCCTCTTGGTTCTGTTCCTCCCACTTCTCGTACTGCTGCCCCTCCTCCTCTGACTCCTTCTGCGAGTAGTACTTCCTTCCTAGGTGGCTTCGTTCTTCATGAATGACATATCGCCAAAGGTATGGTGGCATGCGTCCGCAATCTCTTCGAGAATAATTCAGATCGGGTATCAATGCAGTCTCGGTCAATATAGTCCCGCACGTTCTCACGGATGATTATCGCGTAAATCGTAGGCCACGCTGTTCCATGACAGGATCTCCTCGTTGAACTTTTCCCCCGCCCCTATAATAGATGCGTCTAATCAAGCTGACCGTTGCAGTATTTTTTGGCGTTTCTTATTCATATTCAAGCGTTGCTTCTGCTGCCGTCATTATCGGAGCTGGAGCCCGCATCGCCCGTCTGCGCCGTCATCGTCTTTTGCGTATTCGCCTGCGGTTGTGTCTGGACGGTTGGGCCGGTAGCCGATGGAGCGGGGGGCTGAACAGCGGGCGGGGCTGGGTTACTCGAAGCGCGAGCGGCGGCGCCGGCGGTAGCAGCATGCAGACGTTGGTCGAGAGCTTTGAGAGCCAGCGCCCTCCTACGCTCAGCCTCGGCTCTTGCGCTGCCGGGCACGCCGCGTTGATGGCTGTGGTGCGAGAAGGCATTGTCGCCTCGCGCGGCTGAGATGTGATCTTGCGTAAAAGGCGTGCAGACGCGCATGGCGACCAGCATGTTGAAGACGTTCTCAGAGATGCCCGCAACCACGGGCCGGACGGGACCGGGGAAGAACTCGGCAAAGGCAAAGGTCTCGCTGGCGTCACCGCGGAGGGAGCTCGTCTGGGACTGGTCGAGGTCGGGAAAGACGGCCTTGTAGAAACGGAGGTAGGTCCAGCTTGTGATGAAGCCGTAGACGGCGAGTAGGAAAGATACGCTCGTGAGCATGGGGGTGAGGCACAGGGCCGTCACGACGCCAATGTAGAGAAGTGGGAAGCGGGGCACACGGAGCGAGAGGATGCCGCGGAAGAGGGTGACGGTATGGGCGGGGACGAGCTGGCTGAAAGCGACGAGGAAGGAGATCTGGAGGGAGATGGTGCCGGCGATGGTCATGAGTCTGTAAACAGCAAAGGGTTAGCCAGCCATAGTAAAGCAGCAATGCGTGTTAGCTGGTTTGGATCGTGTACGTACGTCCATCGCTCGTTCCTGGTAAAGGTGAAGAAGAGGATCAAGGTGGCAAAGCAGAGAGCGTTCGGGATCAGGGAGGTGACGAGCAGGAATTTGGCGAGCTCGCGCGAGGACCAGGCGCGCTCAAGGTAACGACCGCCATGGTAGAGGGTCAGGGCTGCGATACTGAAGGTGAAGATGTTGCTCTCGACGAGGGTGGTTGTCACAAAGGTCCACGGGTAGACGAGCGATAGTTGAGGAATCAGGTTGAGATATGGGATGACAATCTCGGAGTGCGCCGTCCACTGGCGGTATCGGATGGCAGCGCTGAGGACGGACTGGAGGCCGAGGGCGAGGAGGCTGATGCGCGTCACGGGCGGGAGGTTTATTCGTGGCGGCATGGCGGTGATTATGTTTAGTATCTAATGGCCTGGGTATCGTCTATGAAGTGGTAGTAGTAGTAATAGTAGTAGTATGAAATAAGATATCGTCGCAATCAGAGCATGATCGTCGAGTTCGTGCTGGCTGCGACATCGAGGGGTCGTCCGTCACCTGTCGCTTGTCAGAGAAGCTCAGTCAAGCTGCAGGCCGTCGCGCCCTGGCGGGTCCGTGTCTGTTCGTAGTGTAGCTGGTCTCGGAATGTCCCGTGGCCTGGCCGGCAAGGTTCTAGAGCCGAACTGCAGTTGTTGCCTCAGGTGTCAAGCAACGGGCGGCCCGCCGATCATGTGTCACTGGAGAATTGGATCGTGGCCCACTTAAGGGTATGGAGATTGCCCAATGCCATGCCATCATGGTGCTCCATCGGGCCTGCAGCCGGTACGTACCTGCCTCTTGACAAAGCGGGAACCTTGAATCCAGCACCATGTAACAGCATCCGTCACAGCTCAGCAGCAGTCAGACCGAGGGGAGGACAAAGAACATGAACCGATCCGGATCATGCGGCGAAGACAATGAGAGTATCTCAACAAGAAACACATAGGGCCACTGGATGAGTGTGTCAACTTGACTTTTCAATTCCATTTCTAAACCCCCCCCCCCCCCTCCCCCTTCTCTTGGACTCCAGTGCTCGGAGAGCCTGGGACTGTCGTATCGTTAACCGACATACCAAGAATGCAAGGGGGTCTGTTCCGTCCAACTTGTTCTACGACAAAGCAGAAGATAACCATAGCGACACGAAGTTCCAGCAGGAGCTTACACACTTCTAGCTTAATCCAACTGTGTGGCTTGGACCTAGTTTGGGTTGATGATGGAATCGCACTCCCATAGAGGTGGTCCCACAGATAAATAAACCTTCTACACTACCTACACAGTGTAGTACGATTGCCCCGAATTTGGTCAAGTCGGCAGAGAGACAAAGAAGACAAAGAGCGATCATGCCCTAGAAAAAAAACACATGTACTGCAGAGATGAAACTTATCATCAGCGAGCCGTTTAGCGGTCGTTGCCCCGACAATTTAATTCAGGCGTTGCATTCGACGTCTCTGCACAAAACACGCGTGCCACAGAGTGCGTTCGCTTCTTCGGGCTTGAGGGGGAAAAAAGAGGGTCGCAGTCTCGATACCGGCAGTGTCCATCCCAAAAAGGTGTGGGGGCAGAGCGGGACGCTTGTACTTGTACCCCTGAAACGAACCATCGGGCTGTTTGTGATGAAAAAGGCACGTCAAAACCAACTCCAGCCAATCGTTGCGGCAGCTGGTCGAGATCGAAGAGCCCCGGGCCTTGGTCCCTTGGCACCCTTGCCCAGTAGCGACCCTTTCCAGTGGCCGTGCTGATTGGCCGCCCATTCGATGGATGGCAATTGGCGAGACACGGAGAGAGGAGGACAGCCTAGAAATGGAACGCCAGGGCTTTGTTCCTCCAGGGAGCAGGTCTGCAACACACGACGCTGCAACAGAATCGAAGCCAGTTCTACTTGTCCGAATTTCAGACGGGCCAGCCCAGGTTGAGGGAGCAATCGCAAAACGAGGTGGATGGAGAGCTTGGTGAGTAGATTCGCGTGCTCTGGAAAGCCATTCCCGTCGCTCGGCCGGGGAGGGGGGCGAGATTGGGTCTGTCGCACACACTAGATCATCGTCACTGGCTGATTGATGGTTGGTTACACGTTGGGCCAATGTGAGAAAGGGATCGTCACCTCGCGAACAGGAGCCTTGGGAGCCGGGAATTTAGTGTAGTGTAGTGTAAAGGGAGGCAATGGCACTGTCATCTGCGAACCATGATAAATATTGTTGAAACGACCTCCAAGTTTCATGAGTTGAGCGTTTGCAGTTCGTACAGTAACGGCGCACATGTGCAATGTGCAATCGTTTAAAAGCAGGTCAAAGGCAGAAGGGCGACTTGCATCCCACTTCCTACCCTTCTAGGTAGAGGCACCTCAATGCTGCGGATCAAACGACACACGGCACAATCGCCTGGGACTGAATCCTGACCCATCATATCCCGGCCAACCTAATGTTCGACTGGCCCGGGCATCCAGAACCCCAAAAGATGGATCGTCATATGCGATGGAACGCGAAACAACTGCCATCCCATTCCTTTAACTGATCGGATAAAAGACTCGTCAGCAATGGGACAACAAATGAAAGCAGCAAACATGACATAAAGTTGCCTGTTAGAAGGCTACGTAGCCGTGAAGCGCATTGATCACATCGCTCAGAGTCGAATACCGCACCTTCTTATTCCGCGATACATATGCACATTAAATGGTGGACAAGCTGTACATGTTGGTTGTCCAAGAGTGAGGTGAGGCGACATCAGCAATATGAAGGAAGGGGGGTTCTCCATATGGGCTGGATGACCCCTGTTCCTCATCGAAGTCCCCCTCTCCTGTCGGTCTTTGATACCTAGTGTAAATACTTGCGCTGCCATGATTGACGCGGATTCGCTGCCAATGCTGTCTCCTCTCGTGATTTGCTAACACACTGAAATCGTCGATTGCAAGTGTCGAAATTGAAACTGTCTGTCTGCTGTCTTGGGCAAGCGGGCGTGGCACTTTGCAGTTCCATTTTCTCCATATCCCAAAAGGGACTAGCGCGCGGCCTGCATCTTAGCACTCGCCTAAACGCGCAGCAGCAGCAGCAGCAGCAGCAGCAAGGCCCAGGACCGCCAGGGCAACGACCGGACCGGGGGCAAGGCCTTCGTGGACGGGAGGTACCTTCCTTGTCCTCCATTTCGATGCAGCATCTGAGCAGCCGGGCAAGAACCGAACGAAGCAGCTCGCCCACCTGCCCACCCAGTGCACCCACGGCGGCACCCACTCCCACCTGCCGTCCACTGCCTGGCCCTGCGCTGCGGTGGAACACCTCGAAATCCGCACTGCCCGGGGCCCTCCCGTTACCCACCGTTCCAGTCCCAGAGGCCAAAGCCAAATCCAGCCAAATCTACCACAAATCTAACCCCCATCCCATCCTGCCGTTCGCCCTCCGCAACCAACCCTCAGCGTCGCCGTTCCAAGCGTAAACACTTTCGACGGAGCTACAGATTCGGCATTCTTGAAAGCGCGCTACAGTACCTGATACCCATTTGCCGCGCCTGGTCGTTCCCTGGACCGCGCCGACCAGTACATATTTGTCGCCTTCGACCCGTTTTCACAACCAGTGTCCAATCGCTCGCCGCCCCGGCAATCTGCCCGTGACTGACGACGACGACGACGATGAAGGAACTACTGGACACGGACCGAGTGAACTATCTCGTTTGGAGGTTCGCCCATCCCTCCCCGCCACCCTCTGCGCTGCTTGTCAAGTGTCAAGACTCGGCGCACTCTCCCTCCCTAGGCTTGGGGCTATTCATGGCATGGCAAAGTACTGACGATGGACTTGCCATCTCGCGTCTTATAGATATCTACTCGAGTCCAGTATGTCTGCTTTTCTTGAATCCCTCCAAGGCGCATGGCCCTTGGCGGTTGGTATATTTCTTTTTCCCGCCTTGCGAGACTAACCGCGCGCACCGTCTTTTGTTCCACAGATTATCGAGACACTGCTGCCAAGCTCCAGAAAGAATGGCGAGTGCAGGCTCCCCACAGGAAATTTGACTTTGCAAAGCATGTGCACACGTACGCGCTGGTGTCCTTGTTGAACAAGGGCCTTATCTATGAAGACTACCAAAGGAAATTTGCGGAAGCCAACCAGGTACGATAGCCGCGCGCTTTCCTTAGCATTTGCTGCTCGATCCGCTGCTCTCCAAAAATCTGTATCGGCTTCAATTCGGCATGACCTAGATGGCCGGGCGGCGTCATTGTGCGCTGCCCTCTGGCACACCCGGAAACCCCCCGGTGGGAGTCGGCTCCTGTGGCTGCAGCGGTTGCAGCGCTGTCATGGGGTCCAGTTTTTTTGCTGACATTTTAGCAGGACACCCGTGAAGGGCAAGCAGCAGCCGAGAGCGCCCGCGGTGTGTTCGGGCCTCTCAAGTTTGAACCAGCACCCAATGAATCGGTGGAGGATATGGAGGAGGAAGATGAGTCGGAAGCTGAGACCGAGATTGAGAATGGAAATGCGCGAAAACGCGGGAGTGAGCGGCCGCATCATGTTTTGCGCAACGGAACGCCAGCAAAGCGACAAAGGCTGAGCAATGGCAACGAGAACGGAAATGGGGCGGAATCAGCTACGACGCCCATGGAAATCGACTCTCACGCAGACAACAGCAGCAGCAGCAGCAACAACAATAACAACAACAACAACAACAACAACTCGAGTAGCAGCAATGTCAACAACAACCATGCCTACCCGTCGCCCCTGGAGGGTGAGCAGGCCGCATCTCCACCACCACGCACCGAGGGCCCAGAGAAGGGCACGCAGACAGAAGAGCCGCTAGATCTCACGCCGGCAACGGTATTCCTGCGCATGGGCGCCGACGAGAGCACAGAATCAGAACTATCAACAAGCCAGGACCAGATGGCCGAAAATCCGATTGCTTCGCCGCTGGCGCTGTTCTGCGAGTGGAACCCCAGCAACCCATCCATCTTGGCGGTTGCCGGGACCGAGGCGCTAGCCCGTCTTTGGACTCTCTCGCGTGGAGACGCCCCAGTGGCCGACATCCCTGCAGGTCACGTGGACGACCGCACGGCCCCCCCTTTCACGCTCAACTCCAGCTTCTCCAGCCTCACCGAGCAGGACGTCCTCAAGTCGTCCACCGTCTCGTCACTTGCCTGGAATGCCGATGGTACTGCCATTGCTCTGGCTGTGGATCATGGGGGCAAGTCGCGTGTCAGCATCTGGGATGTCAATGGCTCGCCTATCCACCGCTTCGATGGCGTCGACCCTCCCGTCATCAAGTTGCGTTGGAGCCCTAACAAAGACTTGATTTTGGGCGTTAGTCTCGATAGCCGCGGCATAATGGTCACTGTGTTCTCGCTGTCGACCGCAAACTCGGTCTCTCACCTCCTTGAACGCACTCTCGACGATAGTGTTCTCGATGTTTGCTGGGTTAGCGAGACCGAGTTTGTAATTTGTGGAGGTGATTGCTTGGTCGCCCTGCGCTGTGAAGAGAAGGGTATCGAGCCTGGCAGAGAGTTTGACACCGACAAGGACGAAAGTTTCAGTCAGATCAAATACGACGCAAAGACGGGGCTTATTGCTACTGCCACTGAAAAAGGCGTCATACATGTAAGTGGGACACTGCAAACAAGAAAACAACAACATCTGAACCTCTACTAACACTCTACTCCTTAGATCTGGGACCAAGCGGGTCAACGACGGTCCATCAGCGCCCATATCGGAAACATCACCGGTCTTTTATGGCAGCCCTTGGACCGCGAGCCGGAGGAAGATGAAAGATTGCTTGCGTCCAGTGGGGAAGATGGCGCCATCTGCATATGGAACGTGCGCAACGCTGACAACAAGGCAAAGTACTCGATGACGATGGCCGATCAGATTGCTAGCATCGCAATGACCCCCGACGGCACTTACATTGCCGGAGCAACCGCGGACAGGGTCTTGGTGTGGAAGCTTGATGATCCAACGGTGCCTTACGCGAGCTGGAACAAGGAATCCCATCCGGGATGGAGGAGCCCCAAAACAGGCGCAGAAGCGGACGAGATTCTCGCACCCTGCCTTGGCTGGGATGCAGAGGGAGGAAAGCTGGTCTATGGCCTAAATAGTCGGGTACGTACAATCTTCGTCCGGGTTTGTGGACTTGTGCTAACAATGTCGCAGCTTGCTGTCATCAACTTTCGCTAGGCGCGACTTAAGGATGGCCTTAATGAACTTGCGCTGGCCCTTGACGAGGTCGGTCTGAATGCTGACGAATCTAACGTGTACTCGTCCACGACCTCGTCTCAGGCCTCATATGTGGCCTCCGAGGCCTCTGAGGCCAGCTCGTGATTCCGCTTCGGTCTGCGCAGCTTGGCGGTGGCCCTTAGGTCTTGATCCTTAATCGCTTCGATGTCACGAGAAGCGCGAAACGCGAGGCGGGTCTGTTAGGCGTCGAAATGACGTTCCTAGTCGCATCCGTTGTTCGAGGACCATATTGCATCCAGTTGTTCCGCCCAAGCTCGCTGCCAGCAGTGCTTGCCAGCATCGCATGAGGATGGCTTTTCAACGGTGATTGTGGTTCTCGACCCGGTAACTATGTTACCTCCACGAGCCGTTTGTCATTATTGGACAGGAATATTGTTAGGCGCCGCACCGGAGAGTCGCAGCCCGAGGCTGCTATGAGCTATGGCAAGGAAAGGCTGCGCATACGAACAACCGTTGCAGACAAACAGGAGGGGCGTGCTTAGGCCCTACGCAGGTCGAAATGCCTGCCATCAATGCACCATAGTCAAAGGAGGCGATATGGACATTGAGGCCGGCTGCCCTGTAACACCCGTGTTCTCATGGTATGACCCAGAGGCGAGCGAAAGTGAATGGAAGCGGAGACCGCCGATGAGGATATTTTTTCCGGTAGCGCGGATATCCGCAACATGATTACGGTTCCGCACCTCTTTTTAAGCCCACCGCTGATGTGAAAACCCGCATCTTTGAACAGACCTGCTGTTCCCACCGCGAGTCTACAATACTTTCGACGCGATGCTCACCAATGCACGGGTGATTGGGGATACCACCTACAGACAATGACTCCTGGATAATCACTGTCTCGAGACCACCCAAGAAACCCGCCAAAGTTCATTTCCGTTGCAGTTTCAATATACTTGACAGTTACCATCTATTCCGTTTTCTTATCATCGGAGCAGCGTGTAGCTCCGACACGCCGGACGGCGTCTTTTTTGGCTACACAGTATTTCCTTTTCGTTAGGCAACAAAACTATTGAGTTAAAACAATGCGCCCGCAGGGAAGACGGGCGAGACCAAACCGAGTACCCAAAAAAGTAAGGCAATGGATGGCGACAAGAACAATCTGATTTGCGAATGGCAATGCTTGGTTTCCCGGAACAGCATGGATGCATGCGATGAAGGATGGTGATCTGGCGAACCGGTTTGTTTGTTTGTTGGTTTGTTATTGTAGTGGGCTAGAAACCTGGATATCTAGGTATATGTATACACTTGTATGAAGATCTCGACATGCAAAGGGTCAATTATTCTGCATTGTTTTACACCTAAGAGCCAGGAACGTGACCAGTCATCCGTGACTCGAAATTCATTGGTACCTTGGGAACTGAGATCTGACATATCGGGTCGCTGGTGATGACAATGCGCATTGTTGATACGGACACCTATCCCAACGTTGAACATTATGCGTGAGAACACCGAGATTTCAGTTAATCTTTTGTTAAGTATTCAATTCTGCATGGAGGTTGATGTAACGGGCTATAAGCCACTGCTTTACCGCCTGTTCACGAATTGACTGTTTGCATTCACCATATGCGCATTTGTGCATGTGAAATCAATGGAGATGGCGGTGCGGGTAGGTGCAGGCGAATTGTCAATGGCTTTGTCGATACCGGTGTGTTGGTGAGAGTGCTATGTCTATATGGGAGCGATAATGATATGCTTGTTGTATACAACCTAGTTAAAACTGCTAAGAGCGGGCCACAGATTGCCAATGCTTTGTATGTAGATAGGGTATCCCCACTAACTGAGCTGAGGGACTTCGTCACGACCGGGACGTCCCCGTTACACTGCACTCATATCACACTGTACAACCCTGACCAACGCAGACACTATAAGACGACAACGCAAATGTTTGAGAATAGCTGGCGACCGAGGGATTTCAATCCGAGCTCTACGTTTCCATAAACCCATCAAGAATCCTCAGCCCACCGAGACTGCGCCAAAGGAACAAGCAGCAACCGCCCAGACGTTACTTCAAGCGACTACCGAGCGCACGACGGACAAGAGGGGTCGTCAACCCAATTCACAGAACCTCACACGCAACTTCCATCATTTGTTGCCGGAACTGAATCAGAAAGATAGCGCTGAGTTCGGCATCAGCACATATTGCGAAGTTGGAAGTTGAACCCACGAAACGCGCAGGAAGCAACAGTGAAGGCCAAATCCGTTGCATATAAGAAGTGGAAGTATCTCGCCCTGACCATCCACTTGTCCGCTCACCTCGGACACGGACCCCTTTACTCACGCTCATTCACTTCTCAATATCCATCAATTAATCGAATCGACCAACCATCATTTCTTCCATCACCGCATTCACCAAGTACCAATCACCACCGACAATCGTCCTCACCTTCCACCCACATACCCAGCCGCCAGCCAACCTCCCCAATAGCCAACAATGGACAGCCACTCACCCTTCGCCTCAACCACCACCAACTCCTCCCACAACAACAGCACATCCAACCTTCACAACAACAACAACCCCTCAACCACAACCAGCAGCATCACCAACGTCGGACATAGCAACTTCACCCCCGAGATGCGTGATAAGCAAGCCAGAGGCAAAGACCCCTATGCTGAACGGTCGGATGAGGAGAGTGATTTTGATGGTGGAGGGCCGGCGGTTGGGATGATGGGGAGGAGTATGGGTGCTGGTGGGGGTGTTGGTGGGAGGGGATTGGGAAGGGGGACGGGGAGAGGAGGTGCGGGTGGGTTGTCATGGGGTGAGAGGAAGGATGTTAGGAGGAAGTAAGCATCGCCCTTTTCTTGGGAGTTCTTCGTTGGGTGGGTTTGTTGATGAAGCTTGAAGTGGATGGCGTTGCGGTTCGGGTGCATTTCGGGGAAAGAGAGCATGAGCAGGGACAAAACTTCAAAAACAGGGGAGAAGGACTGATAAAGGAAAGCACCAACATCAACACCAGCAAAAGCTAACGTCACCACCCATCACAGAGTAGAAATCTCCGGCAACGCCAAAGCTCTCTCTAGCATGTCCAACTCCAATCACCACGTCGATTACGACACCCGTGAGAAGCGCCGCAAAGCCTCCATGTTTCTCAACGACCCCGAGTTGTTGATAACCCATGCTGAGGCTAGTGGCATGGTACGTCCCATCTCCCGTTCTCCTCCCATCTCTATTTCCATTCCCATCCTCATAATTCTCTTTCAACAATGGATGGATATAGAAGCTGATTAACCGTTCGGCATTCAAAAACAGACCATCGCCGGCTCCCGCCACCATTTCATGCTCATGCTTTGTGGTTACGACAACAAATCGCGTAAGAAAGCGGCGCAGGGCTCTTCCTCGGTCAGCAGTGGTCCATCGTCGCGCATGTATCAGGGTGGATCGGGGTTCAGTTTCTGAGAATGACTTGATGATCTGATGTTGTTGACGAGTGAAAAGACACAAAAACTGATCCAACATATCTATTATCAACCACTACCATATGATTTCGAAGCACTTTCCCCGCCACAGATATTTGCACCCACCGACTTATCCTAGCACTCATATAACCCTCCAGTACCTTACATGAAAGTCACAACTCCCCTTTCTTCATTTTGACAAAGACAATCGAATATGACTCACAAGAGACTAAAACCCCCACTGCACCTTGAACGGAACCAAGATAGCCAGCTGCAACTACAGTCACCTGATAACCCATTCTGGTCAGAGTTGTCGGACTCGTTTGATTCGGGTGATTCAATGCATTCGTTTAGATGATGGGCAGTACCCGAAGGGAAGCGGGTTGGGAATTTGGATGGGAAGAGGAATAGGAAAACGGAGAGTAATAACGAAACGGCCCGGCAATTGACGAGCAGCGAACAACAATGAACGAGCAGCAGGCGGGCGTACAACCAATAATGGGATGTGCATTGTGGAAAAACAAAGATAATGTGTGAAAACAGATGTGGTTGACAGAGCTGAGGGTGGAGCAGAGAGTTACCTCTGTGTAGGTACACTTGACTCTCGAATAGCGGCTACCATATAAGCCAACATCAAAATATGCTCTCATTCGGATTGAAAGAGCATTGATAAGCTCTTCATCTTTCCTATACAGTCACATACGACCATACCCACTGGAAAACTCAGGATCCCGTCCGCTCTCCTATAGATAAGTTAGTGAGGGGAAGATTATCTATAGGAACCGTTTTTGATAGGAGTTTAAATGATTTAGTTGAAAACGCCGCCCCTATTTTTAGAACTGTTTTCCTATTACCTTTGCTATTAAATATACCGTTCTACTTATATTAAACCTAATTGAATAGGTTAGGTATATACTATATAAAGTATTTACTCCTACTATTTACCCTTAATACCTACTCTATATACTTAGTACTTTTAATTGGGAGGTGTAGTTAGTTTTTGGAAGGTGTGGTTGGCTTTTAGAAGGTATAGTTAGCTTTTAAGAAGTATGGTTGGCTTTTGGAAGGTGTGGTTGGCTTTTAGAAGGTATAATTAGCTTTTAAGAAGTATGGTTGGCTTTTGGGAGGTGTGGTTAGCTTCGGTAAATATTAGAAAGGTCTTAAGATATAAATTGTATCTTTACTCTTAGATTCCCAACCGAACTAAATAAGTATACTTTTATTCTATTCTTATTATATTTACTATATATCTATTCTTCCTAGTTGATTCTACTATATAAATTACAGCCCCTATATTGTAAGAGTTATATTAGTTTTTATATTAAACCCTCCTTCCGAATTTTCTAACAAATTTCTCCTTCTAATTATACTAAGTTTATTAGCTATTGTAATTTGAGAAGGTATTATTTGAATTTTACGGTGCCGATTATATTCTATTTATATGTAATAGGGAAGGGATGGAATTATAAAAACTATTAATACTACTAATTATACCCGACGACGAAGAATAGAAAAGAAGAATATTTATTAATATTAATAAATTTATAATAATAATATATAAGCGTTCGCTTTATAAAAAGACTAAAATTAAGTGAGAACGTGCATAGTGTTTATAGAATAAGTATATACTTTGTTATTTTACTATTTTCTAAAATATTGCGTACTAACGCTTTTAAGATTTGTTATAGATATGTTACAATTAATATAAAAAGAGGCTAATAAAGTTTGGTTTAATATATATTAAAATAAGAAAAAGTCTATTATTATCTATAAGAACTTTCTGGTTAACTATATACGCTATACAAAATATAGATATTTATATATAGACGGTACTAAAGAATAGAAGTAGGTACTAATAATTTAATTAATAGTGATTATTATTGCTTTATGGAAGTATATAATAGTTCAAATTAATATTATAGTATTTGCAAAGAGAAGAGATTAAAATTTAAACAGAAATTTAAACAAAGATTCTAGATAATGGATATTATTTAATAATTATAGCAAAGCCCGTAGAGAGATTATCCAAGTAGATTCCTTCCTTATCTATATTAATATTATATATTAATATTTCTTTTTATAATAAATTTAATTAATTTTTATACAAAAGTTCAACCTCTTATATAAATAAATATTTAAAAAAACTAAAGGTATAATAGGTAATATTCTATTTATTTTTAGTACTTTATAGAAATGCGTAATCGATATACCTTATAATCCTAAATATTGGATTGTTTTTTATATATTAATATTTATAGGAAGTATTAGCTTTCAGCCCGGTACTTATAAGAATATATTTTATTAATAAATTAAGTTACTTATTGTTTGTAATCCGAATATAAAGGAACTAAGGCTTATTGCTTAGATTACAATTAATTAAAATAAGCTATTAGCTAATAAAATTAATAAAGGGGTAAATATATCTATATTCTTACTTTAACTATTAATCTAAACTAATACTTTTTTAAAGTAACCTTTTTTATTACTATGATACTATATTAGATCGTTTATTTAATTACATTTGTAGTTATTTAACTCTGTAAGATAATACCTTCGAAATAGAGTTTTTATTATTTGACGAATTATTCTAATGTCTAAATTTAGAAAATATTAATTGTATTGAATTTAGGTAGAAGGATAGAATATAAAATAAGCCTATCTTTCCTTTAAAGTACTATAAATTTCTAGAATTTTAAAATTGGATATAGTTGGTAACGGGGAATAAAAATACTCTCTGCCTTTATATATTACGAATTGGTAATAGAAATAAAGTTAATAGTAAGAAATTTTTATTTATTTCCCTTACTATTTTGCTTACAATTTTTATATAAGGTTCCCTTATATCCGCTATTTGAAACTATATTCTAAACTATAACACACAAACGTTCGAAACTTTTTACTAAGCGAGGTATATTTTATATAATTTAATAATACTTATTTTCAATAGTATATTTAAAGACAATTCTAAATTATTTAAATTACTAGCCTCTGTATTTTTACATAGGGATAATAAAGTATTAGTTTATCTAATACTAATTATATTAAAAACATTTGAAAATTACAAAAATATAAAAGTACTTCGCATATAGTATTATTATTTCTAGGAAGAGCTCTAATTCTCTATAGACAATAGAGAGGTAAAGTAACTTTCTATAAAAATTAGAAATTTATAGATAGTATTATTAAATTTAGTTATTAAGTAAGTTCGAAAAAATTATTTTGTTAAAATTAATTCCCTTAGAGCTTACGGCCTATTAACCGAAGATATACCAATACCCCCTCTAAATCCCTTTAAATACTCCTTTAGTCCTAATTTACCTATAGTAATAATTATTAATCGATATTTAAACTCTAGAGATTTGGTTTCTAATACTACTACGAAAATACTTTTTCTAAATTTAATTAATAATAGTTCTAACTAAACTACCTAAAAGCAATTTACAATATCGGAAATACTTTTTATATATCTGAATAATAGGTATAGAGAAGTAAAAGAGATTGTTTAGAAAATAGAGTAAATAGCTTCCGAATATAAGAAAGTAGCTTCTACGCTCTCTATATATCTTTTCTATCTACAAAGCTTTACTTATTAATGTAATTTCAGTAGATACTATTGGAGCGTTTATTTTACAGTAATGACTTTTGAATTTTTTTTATATTTTGAATATTAGTAGTAAGGAAAGGAAGAGTATAAAATTGAGAGGGTATTGGAATAGAATAACTATATCGAAAGAGTATATAATTCTATTAATATTCTAGATCTCTTTACTACACTAATTATTAAACTTAAACTAATAGTTACAATTACTAAGTCAAAATCCGCTCCTTATTTAAAATACAGCTAATTGTTCTATACCGGAAATAGTTTATTAAGGTATATAAATAAATATTATAAAATCGTAGAACTATTCAATTATTTATAATATAAGAGAGAAGGGGAGAATATCCAAATTAATAACTTCGCGTTATAGCTTATATATATGTTAAATACTTACGGTTGTAATAGGTAAATAAGAATAGTTATTAATAAGGAATAATTATTAAAATAGGGATAAAAGAAGAGAAAAAAAGAAAATATAATAGAGGAGGTAATAAAATGTAGTAAATTAGAATCCTAAGTATATAGAATACAAATAAGAATACTATTTTTATCTCTCCTACCGAAATATTTATTTCTAGAATTACGATTGTAATAACCGTAATCGCAATTAAGCCTAGTAATAATAGAGAGTCCTTTAATTATCTTAATATTTTTAATCATACCGCCCAATTAATTATACCGCTAATTTAATTGTACCGTTTGGGCGTATAAAGAATTTATATAATCCTCCTTGAGACTCAATATCTCGGAGTGTGGTTGCAATTAGTAGGGTAGTATTGCGGACCGGGCGGGGCCGTAACGGCGGAGTAGGCCCCAAGAATAATAGAACGGTGGGAATACAATCAGATAATAATTATTAAAGCCGAGTAACTCGTAATAGTTTTCAACACTTTAATTTAATAATTTATTATTTGAAGTTTTAGAGAAAAGATATAGAAATTTATTCTAGTAATAGGATGGTTTATAATATTTATATTCTCTTCTATAATAGCTTTCAGCGTTTATTATATTATATTACTTTATATTTTACTAAAATTCCCTTTATTATTTAATATATCGGTAGGTCGTATTCTTAGCTAGCTTTAAAATCCTTAAAAATATATTTAGTATATTTATTACCTATCCTTATATTTATTTTTAAGGGGTTGAAATTCCTCTACTAACGGATTGTAAACAAATCTTAAACAATTTTCTTTATTTAGATTATTAAAGTTTACTTAGTACTCTTAAATTAATAAAGCAAGCTCTTCGATATATATATATTATAGTAGTAGATATTCTATTAATATTAGCCTATTATATAATACTTTTTTTTACTAGTTAATATTCTAAATTAGATTTTAAGATTCTTATTAAATATTATAATATTAGGATTTATACTCTTACCTCTGCGACTTCGGTAGTAAATATACGTAATTAAATTTATAATAATTAATAGTACGCTTCGACTGCGACCCTCCTTTCAATTTCTACTAT